AAATTTGAAATATAAATTTTTTTTATCTGAAAAATTTGTAGCACAATAAGGTGCAGGCCTATATTATACCACCTATAAAAACCATCATAAGCATTGAATGGGCTTGTCATTTAATTATGACACGTGTATACGTGTAAATAACATACTCCATAAAAATAATCAAAATTTATAGAGCGAAATTTGAAATATAATTTTTTTCTTCTGAAAAATCGGTAGCTCAGTAAGGAGCAGGACTATCTTCTACCACCTATAGAAACCATCATAAGCATTGAATGGGCTTGCCATTTACGTATGACATGTGTATACGTCTAAATAACATACTCCATAAAAATAATGAAAATTTATCGAGCGAAATTTGAAATATAATTTTTTTCTTCTGAAAAATCGGTAGCTCAGTAAGGAGCAGGACTATCTTCTACCACCTATAGAAACCATCATAAGCATTGAATGGGCTTGCCATTTACGTATGACATGTGTATACGTCTAAATAACATACTCCATAAAAATAATAAAAATTTATCGAGCGAAATTTGAAATATAATTTTTTTCTTCTGAAAAATCGGTAGCTCAGTAAGGAGCAGGACTATCTTCTACCAACTATAGAAACCATCATAAGCATTGAATGGGCTTGCCATTTAATTATGTCACGTGTATACTTGTAAATAACATACTCCATAAAAATAATCAAAATTTATCGAGCGAAATTTGAAATATAATTTTTTTCTTCTGAAAAATCGGTAGCTCAGTAAGGAGCAGGACTATCTTCTACCACCTATAGAAACCATCATAAGAATTGAATGGGCTTGCCATTTACGTATGACATGTGTATACGTCTAAATAACATACTCCATAAAAATAATCAAAATTTATCGAGCGAAATTTGAAATATAATTTTTTTCTTCTGAAAAATCGGTAGCTCAGTAAGGAGCAGGACTATCTTCTACCACCTATAGAAACCATCATAAGCATTGAATGGGCTTGCCATTTAATTATGTCACGTGTATACTTGTAAATAACATACTCCATAAAAATAATCAAAATTTATCGAGCGAAATTTGAAATATAATTTTTTTCTTCTGAAAAATCGGTAGCTCAGTAAGGAGCAGGACTATCTTCTACCAACTATAGAAACCATCATAAGCATTGAATGGGCTTGCCATTTAATTATGTCACGTGTATACTTGTAAATAACATACTCCATAAAAATAATGAAAATTTATCGAGCGAAATTTGAAATATAATTTTTTTTATCTGAAAAATTTGTAGCACAATAAGGTGCAGGCCTATATTCTACCACCTATAAAAACCATCATAAGCATTGAATGGGCTTGCCATTTAATTATGTCACGTGTATACTTGTAAATAACATACTCCATAAAAATAATCAAAATTTATCGAGCGAAATTTGAAATATAATTTTTTTCTTCTGAAAAATCGGTATCTCAGTAAGGAGCAGGACTATCTTCTACCAACTATAGAAACCATCATAAGCATTGAATGGGCTTGCCATTTACGTATGACATGTGTATACGTCTAAATAACATACTCCATAAAAATAATGATAATTTATCGAGCCAAATTTGAAATATAATTTTTTTATCTGAAAAAAACCGTAGCCCAGTAAGGAGCAGGCCTATCTTCTACCACCTATAGAAACCATCATAAGCATTGAATGGGCTTGCCATTTAATTATGTCACGTGTATACTTGTAAATAACATACTCCATAAAAATAATCAAAATTTATCGAGCGAAATTTGAAATATAATTTTTTTCTTCTGAAAAATCGGTAGCTCAGTAAGGAGCAGGACTATCTTCTACCACCTATAGAAACCATCATAAGCATTGAATGGGCTTGCCATTTACGTATGACATGTGTATACGTCTAAATAACATACTCCATAAAAATAATCAAAATTTATCGAGCGAAATTTGAAATATAATTTTTTTCTTCTGAAAAATCGGTAGCTCAGTAAGGAGCAGGACTATCTTCTACCACCTATAGAAACCATCATAAGCATTGAATGGGCTTGCCATTTACGTATGACATGTGTATACGTCTAAATAACATACTCCATAAAAATAATGAAAATTTATCGAGCGAAATTTGAAATATAATTTTTTTCTTCTGAAAAATCGGTAGCTCAGTAAGGAGCAGGACTATCTTCTACCAACTATAGAAACCATCATAAGCATTGAATGGGCTTGCCATTTAATTATGTCACGTGTATACTTGTAAATAACATACTCCATAAAAATAATCAAAATTTATCGAGCGAAATTTGAAATATAATTTTTTTCTTCTGAAAAATCGGTAGCTCAGTAAGGAGCAGGACTATCTTCTACCACCTATAGAAACCATCATAAGAATTGAATGGGCTTGCCATTTACGTATGACATGTGTATACGTCTAAATAACATACTCCATAAAAATAATCAAAATTTATCGAGCGAAATTTGAAATATAATTTTTTTCTTCTGAAAAATCGGTAGCTCAGTAAGGAGCAGGACTATCTTCTACCACCTATAGAAACCATCATAAGCATTGAATGGGCTTGCCATTTAATTATGTCACGTGTATACTTGTAAATAACATACTCCATAAAAATAATCAAAATTTATCGAGCGAAATTTGAAATATAATTTTTTTCTTCTGAAAAATCGGTAGCTCAGTAAGGAGCAGGACTATCTTCTACCAACTATAGAAACCATCATAAGCATTGAATGGGCTTGCCATTTAATTATGTCACGTGTATACTTGTAAATAACATACTCCATAAAAATAATGAAAATTTATCGAGCGAAATTTGAAATATAATTTTTTTTTATCTGAAAAATTTGTAGCACAATAAGGTGCAGGCCTATATTCTACCACCTATAAAAACCATCATAAGCATTGAATGGGCTTGCCATTTAATTATGTCACGTGTATACTTGTAAATAACATACTCCATAAAAATAATCAAAATTTATCGAGCGAAATTTGAAATATAATTTTTTTCTTCTGAAAAATCGGTAGCTCAGTAAGGAGCAGGACTATCTTCTACCAACTATAGAAACCATCATAAGCATTGAATGGGCTTGCCATTTACGTATGACATGTGTATACGTCTAAATAACATACTCCATAAAAATAATGATAATTTATCGAGCCAAATTTGAAATATAATTTTTTTATCTGAAAAAAACCGTAGCCCAGTAAGGAGCAGGCCTATCTTCTACCACCTATAGAAACCATCATAAGCATTGAATGGGCTTGCCATTTAATTATGTCACGTGTATACTTGTAAATAACATACTCCATAAAAATAATCAAAATTTATCGAGCGAAATTTGAAATATAATTTTTTTCTTCTGAAAAATCGGTAGCTCAGTAAGGAGCAGGACTATCTTCTACCACCTATAGAAACCATCATAAGCATTGAATGGGCTTGCCATTTACGTATGACATGTGTATACGTCTAAATAACATACTCCATAAAAATAATGAAAATTTATCGAGCGAAATTTGAAATATAATTTTTTTCTTCTGAAAAATCGGTAGCTCAGTAAGGAGCAGGACTATCATCTACCACCTACAGAAACCATCATAAGCATCGAATGGGCTTGCCATTTTATTATGGCATGTATATACGTGTAAATAACATACTCCATAAAAATAGTAAACATGAATCAAACCAGATTTGAATAATACACTTTACTCATTCTGTTGATTGTACCAGTTGAAGCTGTTTTTGTTTACTGTAACACTGTTACATTCTCGTACGTCTGGAGTATATTTCGTGATTCAATATTATGGTATAAGAGTAACAGTGTTATATCATTATTTTTTCGTATGTGCCTTGGTTACATTTATTAATCAAATTAATAAAATTTAATATTAAAATAGGCTGAAAGGAATGTTTACATATCTTTGTTGCGAGTAATGCACTTTGAGGTTAGTGGTTCATAGAGTGATACAATGGAATAACAACAAGTGATATTAATGGTTATTGTACTTTATTTAGGCAACTCAGTTATATAAAAATGGTACATTAGTAAAACAAACACTTAAACACTGCTCAAAATATATGATTTCCACATATTTCAGTGAAATATGCATTTGAGGTTAGGAAGTTCTGAAGCCACGGCCTTCTTGATCTGCTGATCTGACGCTGACGTCATAGCTTAATGTTGGTTTATTGGCAGTTTTACATCCATTAAAAATTAGCCTACATCATAGGCCTATCCCAATGTAAATACGGTAAATATTTGCCGAAAAATAAATTTAAAATAAAATAATTGTATTTTTGTACTTCTAATAATAGGTATATAGGCCTAGGCTACTTTCAAGGATAAAAATATCAATAAATTTAACACGTTCGCTGCTGAGCGCTAGATGCCGGGACGGCGCCAGTTGCTGAACTACGCTCGGCCGCTGCGTGACATTGCCACCAATACACTGAATTACAGTAAAAACAACAGTAGTTATACTGGATGGCAATGTTCTGCAATAAAACTGGCTTTGGATATAGTACTAAGTGATTCTGATAGATAGCAGCACTACCCAGGTTACAGTCGGTAAAGTAGTGTCGCTATCTAGCAGGAAAGAGGTAAAACAAAGCCCTGTTCCAAACGACCCTGGTGGTGATTTGGGAAACTATATTTTTTATTGTCAGAAAAGTACGTCCCCACGAGCTGCAAAGAAATATAGAACGCTTGTGACGTGCTGGCTTATCCATAGCAACGTTAAACAACAATGAACGGTGACGTTCTGGAACGTTCTTAGCTCCTGGCGCCGTGGCCCGGCTGACGTTCCGGAACGTCCGTAGCAGCGAACGTGTTAAAAATCTTGAAGCAACCACCTTTGGACCACTTGAAATGGATTGACCTTTAGGCTAATTGGCTCTACCTACAGAGCAATCATCTGCATAATGCCAATGCAATTTTCTAGTCTAATCTAGGATGTTCAAATTAACTAGGCTTAGGCTAGGTTAGGTTTGAGAAAAAATAGTTTGCTTACAATTTTAATAACACTTCGGATGTGAGGCCTATTTGATTCCAACGGAAAGCAATTGCGGGAGTAAAAAGTCATACAACGTGTTCTTATACATGACAATTGACAAAACACTAAAAACTCAAATCACTTTAAAATCAAATTCTAAAATCGCATAAAATTCAAATTATGTTTTCACCAAGTTCGACAGTCAGCCAACTCCACCTAAACAATCGCCACACCAGTCACCATCGCCATGTTGATTTTTTCATTTTGTGGTTATGATCTTCTTGATGATGTTATGATTATGTCTTATACAGGTTAACCACAAGTAAAATTGAAGACAGCTGTAATAATACATTAAACATACTATAAATCATACAAATAATTATAAAACTCATTACAAGTAATATTGAAGCTGTAATTCCGTTTAAAAGGGTGGGAGGTCAAGGAAGGACTCGGGCCTTGGGCCGTTCCTTTACAAATAACGTTAAATATGTACATTGTAAACAGTAATGATACCCATCATAAAACATACTCCCTTATTAATCTCATTTAACCAAATAAAACGATCTAATTATAAAAATAACCCGTTCCTTATATATATTGTAACCAAACAGTAAATCGTGAATTTTTTTAACAAGTATTTATTTACAATCTATTCTATACTAGAACAATAAGTAAATTTCATGACCATTTTAACATCGGTTAGATACACTCCATCAAGTGCACTAACACACAAAAACTTTTAAAAAGTTTAACCTCAGAGTAAATAAAACAAAAGTTTTGTTTTATTACTCTGAGGTTTAACTAAAAACGATTTGGAAGGTCTATTGGATTAACTCTTTTGTTGAGCCTATATGTAGCTTCACTATTATCGAGGAGGTTAACTGCCAAGAAATTTGGATGGATTTCTAATTTTCTTTGATATTTTTCACTTCGACTTTAAGTTATTTTATATTACTGATCTATAGTATGTTTAGCAATGATAACAAAATAATATGAATTATGTTATGCATTGTTTTATTTTAGAAGACCCGTTAGTGGACATAATAAGCATCTCCCTCAGTATAGGCATATCTTGAACATAGTCCTGATTATAAGTATACTATGCATTATTATCATTTAAATGGATCAGCTGAAGATATAGTTTTGATGTTATAGTTCCATCCGGATTCTAGTAGCGCGTTTTATTCATAAGTGCTATTTACCATCATGGTGGAAGGAAAAAACATAGGTGTGCTATTCCCACATATTCTGACGTCACTCGGATTGCAAACAAAAGATCACCTGATTGTAACTGTCAAATTAGTATATATATTTGTTTTGATTTGGTTGTTATTGTTTTTATTTTATAAAAACAATAACAATCTAATCAAAACAAATACATACTAATTTTAACAGTTACAATCAGTTGATCTTTTGTTTGCAATCCGAGTGACGTCAGAATATGTGGGAATAGCACACCTATGTTTTTTCCTTCCACCATGATTTACCATGCTATTTACAGTAATTATTTTATAATCAATGCTATTTGTTTCTTTAAAACTTATCTTAAAACTATTCATCCAAATACAAAGATACATTTTATAAAATATTACTTTATACTATTGTACCTTATCCTATGACATTGAAAACATTTGAGCGTAGCATCTTTCATTTTTGTATAGTCAGAATATTAATTCAAGTTATGAATTAATTATTCTGATCATACAATAATGAAAGATGCCGGCTTGTTTTATATTCAAAGTTAATGGTTGAGATAAAAGTTTTATCATAAAACTACTTAAGTGCAGTATTTAATTTGCGAATAAACTCGTGTGATGAAAAACATCATGTTCTAAAGCTACATGAAAACTTAACTATGCTTATAAAACTAATTCAACAGAACTTAGACTTTTTTAGCTCCATATGGCATGGCACCAAATGAAATGAAATGATAATCATGCAAAGCAAAATTTAAAAAAATCGAATCTTGTAATAATTTGAGGGATTGTAAACAAAACAAATTTAAACATAATATACTAATGATACAAGTTTAGTTTAGTTAGGCCTACCATTAACATTTTGGATTTTGACATTTAATATGGCTATTTCAATTTTTAATAGAAAAAAACAGTTTTTTGCTCCTGAGGTTGAAGGATTAATTAAGCAGTTAACAAATTTTAAGGTTAGTTTGATTTATACTGTTTGATTAGACAATAAGACAATCATTAATTTAATTTTAAATCATTATATTATTATCTACGTTTATTTAACTTATTAGTATTAATTTTAGGGTCCATTTGGCCCAATAGCTTATAACTTAGTCTTTAGCATAACTTGTATTATGACAGTACCGTAACTTATTCATTGAAAGCTGCAAAGGCTGCACTTTACCTCCTACACTCATTCGAATTATTATATCGATCGATATATCGATTAATCGATATAGGCTACTTATCATTTGGTTAGTTAGGTAAGGTTAACCTAACCTAACTAACCAAACAATATATATCGAATGAATCAATCGATAAATCCATATTTTCATTCGGTTGTTTATCATTCGAATGAGTGTAGGACGTAAAGTAAAGTGCAGCCGAGAAAAATAAAAGTTTAGGAAAACAAATGAAGAGGTATGAAATTGCTAGTAAATTTTAGGCCGATTACGAATTTGACATTTACATAGATACAACTTCACAAATTGAGTATCTTACTTAAGCTTACGGTATAGGAAAAATTAAGTTAGGGAATCCGCACCTTAGTCCTGCCCTCCACCAGGACTAAAAATTGCTCATATTTATTCCTCGAGTTAGCCTAGTCTCTGTTACCCAGGTTTGCGGATTAAATAATTTGGCTCCGAAATACGATGGAATAAATCTTAATTTGAGGCTTAACTTTTAAGTTAAAAGTAAGTTTCTTAACCCGTGACTCTGAAACCCATGAAAGCAAGTTTAAGTCCGGGACTAGTTAACTCTCAGAATAGACTTAGTCATTGAAAATATGCAAATTCAAGCCTAAGGCATATAAGTAAACGGATTAAAATCAGGGAGTGAGAATAGTCTTGGGGAATCTATATAGGCTATAAATTACGAATACCCCCGCCGCAAAAAACCTGCCTAGACTAAGCGAATTTCAACTTGTCTGATTACATTTTTACTAAAATATTTCCATAATTAAGACATATTTATTCCCAAGTTAAATAACATTAGATTTAACCTCCTTAGGAAATATTTGCTATCTCTAACCATTTGGATTCAAATGTTTTTAGGAAGACGATAGAAACTACCAAGAGGTGGAAAAGTTTATTTATTCAAATATAATTCATCATAATTTTGCCACTGTTGACATTGCAATAGTAAAAAATACTATTGATGGCTATGTTGAAAAGTTTCATGCACATGGGCTCAGTAAAAGAGCCAAACAACTGAAAGAATTAGTTGACAAGTATGTTACATCGGACTCAAGTCAGCATACTCAGGTAAATCTTTGTTCTACTTCTTTTTATTGGATAAACACGGTTTAACCTAGCTTTTGTGTGTGTCTGTTAAAAGATGTAATTTAGCATCAACTGGTAAAATGTCATGAACAACAATTGCTCCGAACTATCTTTCTTTTATGCGATGTTTTTGATCTTTAAATCAAGTAGTACTGTATATACAAACACTCTTCTATGAAATCAAAATGATTTATGTTCACAATTCCACACAAAAATGGAACTTTTGTACATTATTTGTTTTGCAATCTCGGACAAGGAATAAAGGTGCAGCAATGGGCCTAGTTGAACAATGTAAAAGTGGAGGGAATAGAATGTACCCATTTTCTGTGCACATAACAGGTAGATTAAGCATTTTATAATAAGAAAAAGAATTATTTTAAAACTCTTTTAACAGGTTGCTTATTACCAAAAGTTTGCCTTAATAACCTCATTCTATTGCAGTGGTTTTGTGAATTTACAACAAAAACAATGTCTTTTAGAATCTTCCACTGGATACTGTTCTAAATTAAGGAGGTGTGGGTGATGATAAGATAAGTTAGGCCTATATTTAATAGCTTTCTCACAACACAACCAAACAAATTGCAGCTGAATGTTCAATGGCATGTTCTGTGGCTTCTTCTAAACTTGTCAACTAGACCAACAGCAGTTTCTGATGAATGTGTCAGCATTGAAGAGTTACCAGAATTCATAAAAGAAGAAGAAGAAATCGATTGGGCCGAATATCTTCGAGAGGGGTTTGAAGAGTTTAGATATCCCAGCGATGAAAGTGTAAGTTGAATGAATGCTTAACATTTGGGAAACATCAGTTTCACCACATTTGTTTCCTGGTTTGTAGGAATACTTTTTACCAATTTTGTCTTAGTCTATGTAAGCAAAACATTAAATTTCCCTTGTAAGTTAATTTTAAAACAATTTAGATAAAAAAAACAACTAACTTACTCTTATTTTCTTTTATCTTGAAGGGGCGGACCGAAACATCAAATAGCTTCATCCAAATTTGTTGAATTATTGTGCACCCCATTGAGTTGTTTTATTAAAAGACCTTAAATATCCTAGCGTCTGACAAATGCCTGCAGTCTACCAATCAGTTCCTCGTCAGGAAGGTGACTCCCTCTTATCAGAACAAAACACAATATTAGCTGAGAGCCGTTAAAATTTGGGATAACCCAAGGCCCAATTTTAGGACCCTTGTTTTTTATTTGTTACCTGAGAGGATTTGATACAACAATTAATTCAACCTCAATTGAGTACCTAGCAATCTTTATATTTAGATGAGGCAAATTTCGTGATATTGTCATCATCCTCAAAAGAAACTGAATTCATGCTTGTGGTCTATTTAATGGAATTTTTCAGAAAAACAGAAACAATTCACACTTTTTTAAACACAAAAAACTAATTTTTAAAATTTAAAAACTACTCAAAATAGAAAATTAAAAGACCTATTAAATATAGCCTACCTATCTTTAATACTGTTTCAAAACAAAGGTTTATACTTAGATTTGGCTTATAATCTGAAATACTAGAAACTTTGAATCTTGTAAAATATAACCTGCTGAGAAAATTAACTTTTCAAGTATTTGTCATACACTGTTCCTCCAGGTAAAAGCAATAATTTTCACAGGCAACTGTTGATCGCTGTTTCTCCAATAACTCATCATCAGCAATAATATTAAACACATTTTCCACAAATACCCTACTAATAAGAAACAATGTCACAAAATAACAATGAAATATTACAGGATGATGATTTAGACTGGCTTAGCGTATCTGAAGAGGACTGTACAGGAGTAGAATATGTCTCGGATGCGAATGAGGAAGATTTGAAGAGTTTTGGTAACATACCACATCCGTCACTGTGGCAACTCACTCCCCAGTTGTCCCAGAGAGAGACTCTACGCAGGGTGGTGAGGGAGGGGAAAGAGGCAGAGGAGTGGTTGAGCAGCAATTTGCAACACTCCTGGTGGTCGGATAAGTCCTTCAGGAGCGTTCTGGAGAGTCACCATCCGGAGACCCGGGTGTGTCAAATATGGTTAGTGTGTTACCAAATGAACATAACTTTATAAAATTAGATTCATAAGTCTCGACTTTTGTCAACTTGACATTCAGAATCATTGACAATTGTACACAAAGGTACCGCTTAAAAAAATGAAGACTGTATTGAAATACAGCTTGTTTTTAATTGAAAATAAATGGTTTTATTCTGTTGTCTTGGGTAGTGTTAAACATGTGATGTTGTTTAGGCCTATTTATTGGTTCAAATTATTACCATAGGCCCCTTCTTTTGATAAAAATTATTTTTTAAATCTAATTATTGTGGCAAATAATCCAGAGGTGCTTGATTAGCAAATGGCTGAAGCCAAGAGTACTTTGACTGTACAGTGGAATTATTTTTAACTGGACCCTTTTAAACTGAAGCCAAGTTAACCGAAACCATTACAAAAAATTCTAATCAATTGGAAATAAATAATCTACACAATGGGAAATTGTCTGTGGTGGTGCGACTAGTTGGTCCAGCTTGGCCAACGGAATGTAACGCCTATGCTAGAAAATTAAGTGTATACAGAAATGCAGTACAGTATTAAGTTGTGTTGGCGGAAATGTTATATCTGCACAATTTAAATTTTTCAGGGAAGAGACATTTAAGTCCCAGGTCGGAGAGGATTCGACAGACCAGCTGCTAGTAATATCTGAGTTTAAAGTGCTACACGAGGTGTTATGGATGCTTCAAGTACCTACAGATTGTGCTCTTTTTTATCAAGATGATAATGATAAGTTTCATGTCAAAGCGGATGTTTCAATGCCTTCGACGATTCCAGTAAGTGTTTTCAAGTACAGCCTTGTAGTAACTGTAATTTCTTTTATCAAAGATCACACGAGAGCTAGGTCTAAATAACTCTTTGACTCATTTAATCACATACTAGAGGTTTTCACTAGTGTCTGCAAAAGTTGAGGACCAGTGTGACCAACTTAACTTTCATCATGATTTCCAATCTTCTCATCCTCTGAACTCAAGACTCCCCTCCACCCAGCCCAAAATGTTCAAAAACAGCTCTCTCACGCCCTAAGGATTTGTAGGAAATTTATTTTATTTGTAACGAGGAATGTCCAAACAATCCTTAGGCGGCCAGTTCAATCCTGAGATTTTGATGGTTCAAAGATCAAAACCCGACCCAGCTCTTCCTGATCATTGGGCTTTAAATAAATGATCCTGACTGATGAACCAGCTGATCCTAGACAGTAACAAAGCTACACGGATCACACCATTCTACACTCACCCTTCGTACTTCACTCATATTTGGGTTAAAATTCACACCTAGGTGGTCTGCCCATGTCAAATAATTAATACTGTACTAGGATTGCTTTTTAGAATTTCGATAACATAAATAATTTTTTTTATACTCTATTAAAAATTCAAAACAAGCTGCAAAATAAAAATACCCCTGCCACAGCAAACCTGTCGACTTAGAATTTCCATTTGTCTGAATTGATTTTCAATCAAATCTATTTAAATAACATTAGGTTTAACGAGTACCTAGGTTTGCTGCTACAAGGAAACTATTTAAGTGTGTTTTTTGTAAAATATTAATAGCTTAGTATAAAATAAATCAATTTGCCAAGTTTGTTCAAAATACCTATATATATCCATAAACAAGCAAACTACAACATTTTACAATATTCCCCATAAGAATAACATAGGAATTTTAAATTAAAATTTGTTTGAATATTCTCCGTTACCAATAACCGTACAAAAAAACTTTGATATACTACATTATTTTTTTTAAGCTCTTTAAAAAGGTACAAAAAGAAATTGGGAATTTTTGTGTTTTGAGGGTCAAAAATGAGAAAAACCATTTTTTACCCCATAAAACCCCCCGTAAAACCCCGTTCCCGTGGTCCGATCATGCTGGTTTTCAAACTGATTTAAGTTTACCCAGCCTTACACCTTTAGACAAATTTTTATCAAAATCGGACAAAAATTACTCACACTTTCTATATCTCTGTTGTGCAACCACTGTCTGTCGGTCTATATATGTTTGGTCTCAAAACATGAGGGGGTAAGTCCTCTTTGTTATGGGTAGCCAGATTTGTTGTACTCTTGTAAAAACAAAAACCACCCCTTCCTTTAAGTGACGTAATCCCTCCCCAATGGGTGTTTTATTTAACAACAAGGACATGTGTAAACAAAAAATATGTAAAATTTTCCCTGGGGTCCTAGAACTCTGTTCGATTGTCAACACTGGTTACATAAACTAATTACAGTTAAACCCCTCGTATCTGACCATGACCGGGCTTTAGCTGGAATGGCTAAATAGAAGGCTCAAAAATCCTAGTTGGCTAGGCTAGTAGCCTACATCTCTATAGATATGTATAACTTTTAATGGGACCTAAGTTTGAATATTAAGAGTGGATTATGCCAAGGTCGGATATTTGAGCTCTACAGTAACAACAAGCTTACTACAAATATTATGGAGTTACTGTTGGTTCTTGATTAATGTTGTTACTGTTGATTATTATTATTTATAGTACTCATACTTTAATCAGTAATAGTAAAGTTCTGAGGTTTGAATAATTATCTGTATTGCATGTATAATAAATATTCGTTGAAGAAAATGTACTTATAAAATTTACTGAAGAATCAAAGTATTTCAAATTCCATTGCAAGTCCTACATAGCTCTCTGTTTTAGGAAACATTGGGATTGTACTTGGAGGAGTTTTGCCCCTATATCAACATGGTTAGCTGCTTGAAGACGTTTGAAGAACTTCTGAATGAACAAGAAATGGGAGACAGTCCTCCTCCAGTTACATACAAAGCTTACTGTGCAGCTCTCTGTAGACAGTTGCAGAAGTTCACTGAGGTTGTCATCGGCATCGAAACTAGACTCAACAAGCAAGGTAAAAAATCATACTTGCGGGAATGGCATCAGCATTGTGTCATGGCTTAGTATACTGTTTTTATTTTGAGTATATAGGAGATAATCTAGTTAAATTTTGAGTTTTCAGTTAGCAACATTGATTAACACCAACTTTGTATTTATTAGAATGTTAAAAGCTTAAAGATTTACTCTATGAGTTGCCTATGAAGAGGTCTAGAAGTATTTATTGAAATATGAGCGTTCAAATATCCAAGTTTGATTTTGGGAGCAGATAATGTGATGGAGTAATAGTATATTTCATTACAAGAACCGAAAGTGGCATTTTCCGACGTGCGCTCAAGTTTCATGTGTGAGGCAAAGCCGAACACAGGAAACCAAATTTCATGTGCGAGGCAAAGCCGAGCAGGTGAGAGTAACGTACGAGGCGAAGCCGAGGACGGGAATGATGGAGCAAGTGTCGGAAAAAAGCTTTCGGTACGAGTTATGAACGATACTTTTCATCACGACGAAAAAATACACACATGCAGAATAACATATCTCAGTAGTATTAAAATAGTTTTAGACCACTCTTTATCATTGAAAATACACTTCACAACTTACGTATATGGTTTCAATTGTAGATTTGTCATTTACGTTAATTAACTGTAATGTTTGACGCCTATTCTGTACTCCATGTTCAAGAATAAACTTAACATTTCCTTCCGAACACACACATTTTTTCTGAACTTAAAATTTTGTAATTTGTACCATTGTTTAAGCTTTCTGTATTCCTCTTCTTATTCTTTCTGTGATTTATCCGGTAAAATGCGATTTTAAGTTGAGCTTTTTTCATCAGATCATCAGTAATGTTAGACATACTTTTGAGCAATTTGAACATGCACTATGTTAAAAACACAGCAAAACAAACTTTATGCCTGTTTCTGTATAGATTTAGATTGTGTAACAATAAAAACAGCTGTTTCAAATCATTAAATCAAACCGTAACAAAACACTAGCGCACGTAGTGAGTAAATGGAGAACTAATCGAGAGAGAGGGGAAGTAAATTTAGAGCTAGGGAAAATCAGCTGATCGATTTTCCCTCGCCCTAAATTAGAGCTTGGGAAACAGCTACTTTCATTGATGACAGCTGTTATCAAAAATAGTTACTTTCGGCGAGGAGTGATGAAAAGTTCTTTAATGATACTTTCTGTGTCTAAAAAGTTTGTAGAAGTAACTCCATTTTGTTTCCCTAACATAAGGAACTACATTTCTGGGATAATAATAAATATTATTGATGAATGTTATGAATATTTCAGATGAAACGATGACTCTAATATCTGTAAGGGAAGAGCTGTCCCCGGCTCTCAAGATTCTGCAGTATTTGCATTGTATCCATATCAAGGCCATTACAGACTGGGTATCTCAACCTGCTTGGTTCTGTGCCACTAGGTAAAACAGTCAACTTCTTTTTATTAAAGTTACTTCTTATTATTGAAAGGTGAAAGAAACCGTTCTCTTGTTAAATCCTGCTTGGCTATGTGCCACTTAGTAAAACACTCATACTATTATTATTCCACATACAGTAGACTCCCTCTTATCTGACCACCTTTTAACCGGACCACACTCGTTAGAAGTGACATCTCTTTATCCGGATAATTTTTATCAGCACATAGGTTTAACCGGACTAGATCGGCAGGAAGTGGACGATACTGAAACGACAGTTCTCGTGGGAAAGATTTGAGACCAGTGATTACGTGTCTAAATACAATGCTCTCCTAATAGGAGTCCGGATAAGAGGGAGTCTACTGTATTCTAATATAAGATTCATGTAAATAAATTATTCTTTCCATTAAATAAGTTTTAGCATCCAGATAACATGCTGTCAAGCGATAAAGCTTTTCTTAACATTATTTGAATGCAAATAGTGTAGGTCCTTAATACATTAATTATGACTTTTTTATCCTCTTTTAGTTAAGAAACTAAGGCCAAACACTTAAACCGCCGTTAAACCTTGCTCTAACTGCAGCTAGCCCGTAAAAGACGAAATCGGATTTCACCAATTGTCGTTAAAGAATTAACTGCCCAATTTTGACTGGTGAACTTCTGTAATCTTTCGTTAAGTAAATATCAGCTGGCAGTGTTTTGATTTGTTTACAAATTTTGCTGTTTTATATCCTCTAGTTCACTCTTTGCGTGACAGATGGAGGACTGGAGCCAGAATTTTTATCTAAGCCTATTTCTTCATGTAAGTTACAATAGTTTTGGGTACTCTAACTTCTGTTTCAATCCCTTATACTGTTTCGTAGTAAAAAAATCCAAAACCAAGAGATCAATAACCTCGGAACTTGATTAACGCATTTAATTGGTCCGATATACTATAGTTCTCAACTGTATATTACGTTGGTTTTAGGTACTAGTTCTTTTCCTCAGAACCATTGGTAGTAGCAAGAATCTTTTTTACCTACCAACCATTTTTACTTATCACTATAATTTACAGCTTAGTCATAGTTGGTATTGCACCTTATTTATTACAGTCGTATTCAATTTAATTGATGTCTTACTGTATAAGTTTTGCTTTTTCTGTCTGGATTCCAAAATGTTGGTTTATGCTACGAAAATGATAACGCATTTGAGTAGGCTAACACATGTTGAGCAAACCATCATGATTTGTTTATGCTTTACGTTGTTTATGTTTACGTATCAATAGTTCATGGCCTGTGTATTGTAAATTACCAATCTAAATAGTCTACAGTACTTCATTTCATATAGTAAGCCGTCATTTCGACAGCATTTCGGGCCATCTTCGGACTAAGCAAAAAAGCCAAAAATATAAATTGTTATGATAAAATTGTATGACACTGTGGCGTCAACTTAGTCACAGTGTGATGCCTTTGGTCTATACTTAATTTTAATATTTATTTTGTAACAGCTGTTGCTTGTTTTGTAAAAATGTTTAGTTTTGACTATGTTATGATTCAAGACACTTCTTTATTCGTTTGTAAATAAAACTTATCAAAATATTCGTTCATATAGTGGTGATATTATTTCATTCAGATTAAACATCTTACTAATATTATAAATGTGAAAGTTTGTGTGTTTGTTTGTGTGTTTGAAGTTCAATCACGCATAAACCACTGGACGGATTAGGCTGAAATTTGGCATGATGATAGCTTACATTCCCGATTAACATATAGGCATATTCTTATCTCAAAAATCCTTTCGGGCTCCGCCCCAGTGGCTCTTTAATTCGCCATGTTAACCTTATAAGTATTCATATTTAAAGGGAATTAAAGAATTTAGTCAGCTGTTTCAACTAAAAAAGTTGGTTCTATGATATGGAAAAGCATTAAAAAGTTATAAGATTTACCAACAGGGTGCAGCACTATATTTTTTTGCATTTATGAAAACAGCTAATTTGAACTAAGCAGCAACAAAAAACTGTGATTCGCAATGAGAACTGTCAAAGTAGGTATTGTTTACAGTTATGTTTATGTTTTTCATTTCATGAATAATTTGTGATATTTTGCGAATTGTTGATGATTTATTTTTCTCTATTGTTTAGGTGAAGTGGTAGAACATTATGGCTATGGTAGATGTGTAATACTATAGAATACTGTAAATTAAAAAAAAACCATATTTTATCAAACTGTGCCCTCTCTTATTGCAAACGCAAAGCTTGAGTATAACTGCAATAAGCATTTTTTACTTATATTCCAACCCCGTACGAAGGACGGGTACTCTGCTAGTTGCTATATATTGGTGAACAACGACAACAAGAAGTAAGACATTCCTTCCTCAATATTACTAATGTTGCTAGAAGAAATCGAAGCTCAATTGGTGAATCTACAAGAGCAACAAAATGAACTCTCAATCAACGTTCAGCAACGCAACGACCCTGGTAATGTATCAGTTAATCGAGTTGCAGTAAAGCTTCCACCATTCTGGACCGATCGACCTAGTCTATGGTTTGCTCAGGTAGATTCCCAGTTCGCCATCTCAGGCATCACAAGTGATGACACTCGGTTCCACTATGTCGTTTCTCAGCTTGAAACACGTTACGCAGTAGAAGGAAAGGAAATCATCACAAATCCGCCTGCAAGGAATCGTTACACGGTACTTCGTTCGAAGCTTATTGAAAGGCTGTCCACTAGTGAAGAAGAATGCGTTCGCCAGTTGTTAAGCGACGAAGATATCGGAGATCACAAGCCATCACAGTTCTTACGCCACCTACGTACTCTGATCTGTCCAGCCCAACTACAGGACAAAATCCTTCGAGCACTCTGGCTACGTCGTCTCTCTGTTAACGTTCAAGCGATTATCACAGCTCAAAATGAACTTCCACTTGATAAACTTGCAGATAAAGTCATTGAAGTTTCTACAAGAACACCACACGTATCAGTAAATGCTACGACATCTCATGAACTCACACATTATAATGACGACCTCACTGCTGCTATCGCGAGACTGCTATTGCAGAGGATTGATGCACTCGAAGTATCCCTCCGGCACAGTTATTCGACCAATCATGACAAGAAAACATCATATAACGCGAATAAATATCAGCACAGATCTACATGTCATATCTGCTGGTATCATGCTAAATTTGGTGAGCACGCGTCAAAATGTACTTCTCCTGGCTCTTATGCGGGAAACTCCAAGGACGGCCAGTAACAGCGGCGGCTGACTGTCAAGCACCCAGTCGCAGAATTTTTGTCTCGGATCGAAAGTCGAATCTCTGGTTTAACAAAGATTTCAAATACTAATTTCATATTTACTTTGCTATGCTTTAAGCGTAGCAAATTCCCTAATTAAATTCTGTATTTTCGTGTGTATATCTGTTGGTCCTTATTTCTATAGCTTAATGTCCTTATTTCTCAGTGTTTCACTGAAAGAACAAGAGCACCTTTGATAATGAAAATGTTAACCGGAATAAAGTGTTTAATGGTGTGGTTGAGGTAGTATTTAAACTAATTTTAAAGCCATTGTGGAAAGTAACTTTTAATTATAGGCCTACCTTACGGCTATGAATAATTTTCTTCAGTATTCTTCAGCAATTTCTTAGTTTAATCATTGGGTATAACATATAGAACGCGATCTGAGTGACATTTAATTCCAAAGCATTTGTTTTGGCTTGAACCTGTCACATACTGTATTTGCGAAGGTTTAGTATAATAGTTTTGCCAGCATATCTGAAAATAAGCAAACCAACTGCTGTTCTGAATATAAGAAGGTTTCAACTGACTACTATAGGATCCCCATGCGTAGAACAGGCACATCACAGCTAGTTTTATATAAAACTACTCTAAATTCCAATCCAAAAATAACACTTCTATATATCTCCTCATAAACACTGATTTATTTTCAAGGTTATGTTTACTTGCTCCTGTGTCAGCCCAGTGTCATGGCAGTTCACTGTCACCTCGAATTACTTTAAACTCTCGTTTAAGAAACCAGCGTTTGTTTTAACGTGTTTTCGTTGGTGAAATCATATTTCATTAACTGTGGGTTAACTTTAAATCATCAGTTAGTTTTAACAGAAGATTAACAAAACCATCCTTAGTGTGAATTTGGTGAAATCGGGCCTAATTAGTTTGAGTGGTTAAAGTGTATGTAGCTGTCGTGATTGGAGTTTTGAATGTTACTAGTTTTATCTTGAGAAGGGTTTGAAAACTCTTTGATGGTTAAAAAAAACTGGACCCAGCTGTCATTGATAATTGGGTTTTACCTGTTCTACCCAATAAATGTACCCACAGTAACTGAGCTACAAAATATTTACAAAACCACCCAACACTGAAATCTCCCTTATACTCGGTTTAAAATAAGGCTTTGCTTGGTGTCGCCATTTGTATATTACAACAATTTTGATTTCACAGATTGCTATCAGTTCTGTATGAAATCGTCAGTGAAGCAAGCGATGAAAAGTTATTGGAAGTTTCTTTGGACATATTCATCCACAGTTTCCACCCGTATCTGGATATTATTGATGTATGGCTGTGTGAAGGCAGATTGGAAGACTGGCGCAAAGAGTTTCTAGTCATTAAGTAAGTTATACATGAATTGCAAAAGTTTTTTAAAATAATGTATTTCTCTTAAAATTTGTACATAAGATCAAATAGCTATTGAATAGTTGATCATCATAGTTTGATACAAATTGAACTGACAATACAATACTGACTGAATTCTAACCTCTAAAGTTAAAATAAAAGTTAAAATTTGGGTTTTCCATACAAAAATGTATTTCTTTTTGTAATTATGGGTAATCTTAAAAATGTTGTCTGAATATTCAGTCAGTGACTAACCTGCTGGGTTGGATAAGCTGTAGAACAAAGAACTTTTATTGATGTACATTTGATCTGTAAATTGGTTCTCTTTTTGTGTCTGTAAAGCATGGCAATTGGTTAAAGTGAACCGGGAACAAAATTTCTTACATTTAATGTGTCAGATGGTGAACTAAATATAGCCTACATATTCTAATAAAAGAAAATCCTCCTCTTACTTTTTTAATGACTCGGAGAGTTACCCACCTTAATGCAATTTTCTAAGATGATTAAATTATGGGAGCAACACTTATCAGCACTTTCTAGATTTTCCAGGGCCTTGCATAACATGTCTACAAATCAAGGATGGACGAGTCCCAATATTTTGGGAAAATAAAATATATTCCTGATCATTGGGACAGGATTACATTTGACTCAGGATTTTTCCGGGACGGGATGGGTTCCAATCGTTAGCGATTTTGCCTTTACGAACAATGTTGTATAAATTTATTTCAGGGATTGGAGGTTGCACTTTTAGATCAGTATAGGAACAGCTCCGGATTTTTCTTCCTGTCTGATAAAGAACTTTAGTATTCTATTAAAAAGATCTTAAGTAAAAATTTTTGTAAATGAGAATATTGGCACAAAGTCACAAACGACATCTCCTGCAATTCTGGGGACATCATAAACAACAACCGCCATTGTTGCAAAATCAATGCATTTTTAAGACATGATAGACGTGATAGACATTTTGATTTTGAGACATAGTTCAATGATCATTGTTCATTCAGATCAAGCCAAAATGGTTTACAACAAACCCCGGCCATAGAAAATTTCAATTTAAATCCACTTTAAAAGTCAGAAATATATTTTTTTCCAAAATTTTGTCTTTATTTTATTACTTGTTAATTGCGTATACTTACATACTTGTGTGTAGGGAAGACGGAGGTATCCCAGAGGTTATGCCTTACGAGTCAGAGATGTTGAAGTGTGGCGTTACTCCTGTGAGACTTCTCACTAGTCTGGTGGATGTTGTGAGAGAGGCAGGTCGCACCATGGAGGTAGTCAACAGTCTCAGCAAACATACTTGTGTGTAGGGAAGACGGAGGTATCCCATAGGTTATGCCTTACGGAGTCAGAGATGTTGAAGTGTGGCGTTACTCCTGTGAGACTTCTCACTAGTCTGGTGGATGTTGTGAGAGAGGCAGGTCGCACCATGGAGATAATCAACAGTCTCAACAAACATACTTGTGTGTAGGGAAGACGGAGGTATCCCAGAGGTGATGCCTTACGAGTCAGAGGTGTTGAAGTGTGGCGTGACTCCTGTGAGACTTCTCACTACTCTAGTGGATGTTGTGAGAGAGGCAGGTCGCACCATGGAGATAGTCAACAGTCTCATACAAACATACTTGTGTGTAGGGAAGACGGAGGTATCCCAGAGGTGATGCCTTACGAGTCAGAGGTGTTGAAGTGTGGCGTGACTCCTGTGAGACTTCTCACTACTCTAGTGGATGTTGTGAGAGAGGCAGGTCGCACCATGGAGATAGTCAACAGTCTCAACAAACATACTTGTGTGTAGGGAAGACGGTGGTATTCCAGAGGTGATGCCTTACGAGTCAGAGATGTTGAAGTGTGGCGTTACTCCTGTGAGACTTCTCACTAGTCTGGTGGATGTTGTGAGAGAGGCAGGTCGCACCATGGAGATAGTCAACAGTCTCAACAAACTGTCTCAGTTCAGAGACACTGTGCGCAACAAAGGTAATGTAAACCTATGCTTCTTTCTTATTTTTGTATTTATTTGGTTTGTTTCCGCTCGCTTGACTTAAAGCCACAAAGCCTAGTATTTGGTGAGAAATGTTGACTCTTGGGGTTGTTGGCTTGGATTAGGATGATACATAATTAGTTATATTCACAGATGGCATAAGTCATTACACAGTACACAGACCTAAAACCCACCAACAATTTTGAGGAGATTGTTTTATAAGTAAGAGAAACAATAAAAGGTTAAATTACCTGTGTCCGCCAGTCGATCCTTATGTGCTGTGTCCTATTACAGGATATGCATTTTGGCAGAATAAATTGCCATCATCAGTCCTAATATAAGATCTATATAATAGGACACAGCACATAAGGATCGACTGGCGGACACAGGTAATTAAACCTTTTTTTGTATGTCATACCGATCCGGAACAACAACAAACAACATAAAATTACGTAAGAGAAAGATTAAAGGTTTCACAGAGTACCTCAGAAAAACTACTTTTACATTCTTACTCATAATAAGACACATACACATACTTGAAACACTTGCCCAACATTTTTGGCTCATAACATGCTTATTTTCCTGTTATTACCAACTACACTTCTTAATCTCAAGGTCTCGTCTTTGTTAGTCTGAACAAGATCCAATCTCAGTGCTTTGCTCTGGTGGTTTTGAATGTCACAGTTATAAGTTAACAAACTGTGTTTATTTGTAGTAAGCTAGCTAATTTTGCTAAACTAGCTAAACTAGCTAATATTGATACTGCATTTTAAGAGAATAATTCTATAATACTATTGGTTGAATACTTGTGAAGTACTCAAGTTCTATTCCAGAGAAGAATGATTATTTTAAAGTAATCATAAAAATTTATTTTTTAGTAATTAATTTTTCTAATTTTTTTCCAGTGTAGTGACAGTTTAGCACTTATGTCTTAGGAGGATAAGAAAAGAGTGTAGCCTAATACAATTTTTTACATCTGATGTTTTTTTTCAGGCTGTCTTTTCAGAGAGTTTTCTGATAATGTTTACAGTGAAATCAAGAGGTTGAAAGATAAAATTTCAGAACTACCTAAAATAGATGAAGAAATACCTGATAATGTGACAGAGAAAATCTGCTATACTTCAGTAAGAAGCAGCTGTGGTGATTTAATCGAAGATGAAGAAAAAAGTATACATGAAGAATCCGAATCTAAAGCAATCAGTCCAGTATCTTCAAGAAAAGTAAGTAAAAAAAAAAAAAATCTTCTTTTTACAGTTTATTCATTGTATAAAAAATTTATAAATCCACCAGTGCACGTTCTAAAGAACATTTCATATGCCAAAACTGTAGAGGTTTTTACTTTATTTCATAAAATCGATAAAAGAACAAACCTTTTATACTATTTATGTCTTAATAGTTAAAAGTAACATCTATGTTTTTAAGTTTTATAGAAAGGTGTGTGGCCTTGTTCATTTTAACTGCTGAGGCTAATGACCTAATTTATGGTTCGACTCTCTATTCGACTAATCTATGAATTCAGAGCAAAATCACAAGATAGATTTTTATTTTTTACGATCTTTGTTTTGGGTTTTCAGTCAAGTAGACCGACGTCACCCACTGCTCTAGTCCCTAGATATCTTCAGTCACTCAGTGGCAAAGCTATGTATGCTCAGACTATGTCAGTTCTACTGCAGAACCCATTGTTGGGGGAAGTGTTTCGTGGTTACCTCTCTCCTCCACGCCCCCCCTCCCCACCAGCTGTCAAACCTGTATTCCCTCAAGAGGCCTCTGATTCTGATTGCAGGTAAGCAAAAAACAAGGAATTCCCCCATTTTCTTGATCTTTTTTAAATGTTAAACTTTGATCTTTAAACATTGTTAAAATGAAAATGTCATATATCATATATCACATAGCTCATTATTGGTTTTCAGCAATTACATTCCTAGCTGCAACTTTAAAGGTTTACAGCTCACATTAACTTTATTCTATACAGAAAGTAACAAAAAATATACCTCTCATTCATTTAATATTCTGCTAGAAGAACACTTTGTAAAGTAAGGATTTCATTAAATTACTATTCCAGAAAAATAAGGGTTTGGTCTGGGTGTAACTAAACTGAAATACAAAGATGAGTGTGGGAAGAGTGGCATGCCTTGTGCAGCTTCCTTATTGAGACAAACTGTTTCTAAAGCTAACTAAACTGGGTTACTATGTAATCAATTTATCAATCGTTATTTGTGTTATATTATAATTTTAGTTGATTTAATAGAGGTTTTTGAACAAACTGTGATTTTACTCTCCATCTCTGTATATTAATTATCTATCTCCGTCCTGGTTGTTGGCAGTGTTAGTCTGGTGGGTCTGATGTCCATTCACAGTGTCCTAGAGAGACAGCTCTCCCTGGTAGAGAGCAGACACAAGTCTGCGTCTAGTCTAGTCACAGACACTCTGCTAACAGAACACAACCTTTGTAAACACTTGACAGTTCTGCGCACCGTCTACTTCATGGAAAACGGCAATCTGGCACAGAGCTTCTACTCATACTTGTTCAAAGAGGTGAGATAAATAAGTAGCCAAACAATGTACCTGATTGGTTGTTGTAGTCAATGGCTATACGGTTAACCCCCACAGTCATGGAGCAATCATCATTGCCTTCCGCAGTTGCTGTGAAAACATGAATATGTTCCTCAATCGGAAAATCTCTTATTCTCTTGTGGTAAAAAAATAACTTCTTGATCAGCATTGTATGTGTTATTAATTTGACGGAAAGTAAATAAAAGAAATGTCTTATAACACTTAAAAAAAAGTTTCTTTAAAAAAAATTAAGTGTTATAAGACATTTCTTTTATTTACTTTCCGTTTAAAAAATCAGGGATCAGGGCAAAATCATAAAAATCTCTGGCCATCACAGAAAATTGTCAATTACTGATTGCTCAATTTTCCCAGACTTCCTGCGGAAAAAAATCTGGCCATTCTCTCACCACTAATATTGAATAACCCAACCCAAGGTTTGTCAAAAATAATTCCTGGTCCGAACCAATTTCTCAGCCTGACACAAATATTGTGTAGACCCTCAGTGTTCTATTGGTTAACTAATGAGACTAATAAAGAAACTTAATATGCTACTTAACAAATCTCATTTTCCTACAGTTACCCGACAAAGTTGGCTTCCTTGTACTGTTTGTAGTACAGAAAGCTGCTAATTGCTACACTTGGTCGTACGGTTTATACTTTGACGTACGGTTTATACTTTGGCGCACATCAGGATTCCAACGAAACAACACAAAACAGCGTGGTTCTATTATGCACGTAATCCGTGTACGCTTGGAAATGGGTTGGCAACACTTAAAGATAATAATACTATGAGCAGCTGATTGACTATTATAACTACGATTTAACCTGTCATTTCGTGTTTATAGTTTCGGTATTTCTGAACTTTCTTGACTTTTCTTATAAACGTTTTTTTACAATTCCTACGATCTTAATAAACAAGAAAATACCTTTAAAGCATTTTTTTAGGCGCGGAAACCACTTCAAATTACAGAAACATACGGAGCTATATTCTCAAGTCGCGGAGCACATTTCTTGCAGAGGAAAAAATAGCGGAGTGATACCGAGGAGTAGGACCGGGTACTACTTTCTCTAGGGCACCTATTTGTGTTGCCAGCTGAACCTAAAAACGTGTTGTATAGTGTTTGAAAGACTAATTATTTATATGATTTATAGTGACTGTAAGAAAGATATAATGTGTAACACGAGTGCAAAAGGCCTTTGCTGCGCTCGAGATCATTCCACATACCCAATATGTATGTGTATGTTTTTGTGTTCTTTGACTCGTCTGCAATATATTTGGTAAACATTGCTCTCGTGTGCAGCAAAGTGCCACTTTGCCCACTAGTTACACAAATAACTATTTCCTAAAATTTCTAAAACATTGAGAGGAACAATATCCTGTCCTGTCCCGTCTCAAATCTTTATTTCAGTCCCGACCCTAATTGTAGTTTATATTTATTAAATACTGTAACAGTGAGATAATATTATAGATGTCATAGTGCAGTTGAATAAAGCTTAGGATATTAATACGTTTCTCTTCTCTGGTTGGAACTGCCTGCTCTCAATGTAGTTTTTCACACCATGCTTTATTTTTTGTTTCAATTTAAAAATATTTTTTTGTTTTTATTAGTTTTATTGATAATTTCTAAATCTATATATTTAATACACAGTTGTTACACTGTTTTCTCAGTAATTACTGGACCGATCTACAAGATTTATGTCTCAAATTAAAGGGGATAGTGTGTAGAATTGCCGAACTTCCTTAGAATTTACGTTTTTTCTAAGGGCTACGACCTACAGCCCTTTAAAGGTCGAGTCAATACAATTCTTATTAAAGAAAATAATACACAGTTTATAAATTATTCGTCAGCTGTTTAATGTTTGTCAGACATTTGTTATTATTTTTATAACCTCACTTTCAGTATGCAATTATTAAACTTGGAGTTTCTGTTTATAAACACACGATTTTGATCAAGGAAAGTGTATTTGTTAACTTATTCTTGAAATGTTTTAGTTTTACTGCAAAGTGATCTGAAGGAAAGTGGTAACTGAGTTTAAGTTTGAGTATGGAATGTGAAATAATACCCATAGTAGGGAACAAAAACTTATTGTTTTGATCACTATAATTTATTCTCTACGGCCACCAGAATAATCATGGGGAGATCCGCTTGCAAGTTGTACAGATAATTGCTGATGAGTGGGAAACATACAAACATTTTATAGTAGGTGACGAATCTTACTCAAGATCAGTGTTAGACGTTCAGTGGTACCAAAACTTTGCCTTTTCGAGATGGCGAGTACACTGGGATACGTGGAACTACAATATATCTGTGATTTTTTTTTTCAAGTACACAGGGAAGTTGCTAGAGAAACTGTGACTTACCATTCGGTTCTGGCGAAGAAGTATGTGACTTGATGTTTAATGGCAATGTTGACTCGGGTCATTATAGCGTTATAAAACTTTATAATTAACCCCAGGGTGTGAAAAGTACAAAAAGAAAAAGAAAAGGTAATCATTAACCGGGCGTAAAGAGACATACCGAACGAAAAAAAATGTAGAGAACCATCGAACTAAAAAGGTAAAGAGCAGTGTTGGTGTTAAATGTGCTCTGGAAGTCCCTACAAAAAAATACCAATTCTTTTGAATTGGGGTCGTTAGATTGAATTTGTCACTACTTCAAATTTATTTATTTCGAGTCAGAACAGACTAACTGGGACACAAAAATGTTTTAGTTTTCCTGCAAAGTGATCTGAAGGAAAGTGGTAATTGAGTTTAAGTTTGAGAATGGAATGTGAAATAATACCCATAGTAGGGGACGGAAACTTATTGCTTTGATCAATATAATTTATTCTCTATAGCCACCAGAACAATCATAGGGAAATCCGCTTGCAAGTTGTACAGATAATTGCTAATGATTGGTAAACATACAAACATTTTATCGTAAGTGATTAACCTTACTCAAGATCAGTGTTCGACGTCCAAATTTTACCTTCTCGAGATGGCGAGTACGCTGGGATATTTGGAACTACAATTTATCAGTGAACTATACCCTAACTATATTTGTTCGAGTAGGCCTACACAGGGAAGTTGCTTGAGAAACTGTGACTTACGATTTTGGTTCTTGCGAAGAAGTATCTGACTTGATGTTTAATGGCAATGTTGACTCGGGTCATTATAGCGTTATAAAATTGTATCATTAACCCCATGATGTGAAAAGTACAAAAAGAAAAAGAAAAGGTAATCATTAACCGGGCGTAAAGAGACATACCGAACGAAAAAAACATGTAGAGAACCATCGAACTAAAAAGGTTAAGAGCAGTGATGGTGTTAAATGTGCTCTGGAAGTCCCTTCTAAAAAATACCAATTTTTTTGAATTGGGGTCGTTAGATTGGATTTGTCAGTACTGCAAATCTACGAATTTTGAGTCAGAACAGACTAACTGGGACACAAATATTTTTTCCTTATGTTGTCACAAGGGGAAGGTAAAATAAACTCCTTATCAACATTTTGAGTTTATGGAAAACCTTATCAACAGCGACTATAAAAAAAGTATTAAGGGTCAAAAGAGACAAAAAACTATTTGAGTAAAATATAATACAAATCTGCATTTGAAATGGCCAGTTCTAAGTCTCACTTGAATCAACATCTTTCTGGTAGTGGTAGTCTACATAGTTTTAAAATCCACGACTCCTTTTCCACCAAATTGGACCGTTAATACCCTATTGAACAAAGTATGCCCAACTTTATATATACGACGTAAACACAGCTTTTACTCACAGTATGGGTCAAAGATTCGTGAAATGCGACCAACTGCTGATGCGTGATTTACATGTAGGCTAAGTGACTATCTTTATTCCATACAACAAATGTAATGAAAAAAAACTACGAATATATTAATTATTAAGGAATATACTTGAGCAAATGATCTAAATATCATAAATAGCTGCTTATTAGGTTATCAGCATTGCTCAGTTCGTATACTATTTATTTTTCAAATGAAACTCGAATTAATATAAAACATTCATTTGTTTAAAATAATATATCGGTTTTATTAACATAAAATAGTTTATACAGGCAAACTATCAGTTCTATTTCATGTAAAAAATTAAACAACCCCTAAATAAAATACAAAGATAAACAGTATTTGTTAATTATTATTTCTTTTATTACTGACAATATTCCCGTGGCAGAGCACGGGCGGTTAACTAGTATTATTTAGTTGTTTGTTTGTTTACATTTTAAAAATTGTCTCCTGTTTTCTAAGATAACATGACAATTTACTATCATCTACTTAGAAAATCTTTATTTGGTAATAAAAAAAATAAATCATTATTTTGTATTTGATAAAAAAAAAAAAACATTTGCTTTGTTCAGTGTAAGATATTCACTGTCACTCAGTATCACTTTAATTGTAAAAAAAAAAATACATTTGAACAACTTTTTAAATTTACAGATAGAAGCTGGGACATGGAACAACTCAATATCATTGAATGCCCAGTTAAAGGTTTGTGTAGAGGAGTACTTTCCTGGATTCGAGAACTACTTTACAGTTCAGATTGAGACGTCCTGTAGAGATAAGTCCAGCAATGCTTTAGTCCATCACATCATCCCAGCAATATCTCTGGCTTACAGGGTAAGTGTGCTTTTCATAATAGTTGCAATATTGTTAGTTCTCATTTTCTGTTTTCTAAATCTGGTAGTAATGAAATGTATTTACAGGTGGATTGGCCAGTTAGCCTAGTAATTTCAGAGGCATCAATCGCAAGCTACAACAAGGTATTCAGATTCCTACTTCACCTCAAGTATGCCTTCTGGACCCTGCACAACACACGTTTCTCAGGTAAATTATATCAAGTACTGGTTTCATATTGGTAGAATTTAGAACTTTACCTATTTTCTCAATATTCTAAAATCCATGTACACTTGTATCACTTTATTTTTATTACTTTTTTTATGATAACACTCTATTGGTGAATGTAAATAAAACTAAACTAGTGAACCTGTGCGGCTCAATGCCCCGCAAAATAACATATGAATTTAGAAAACAAATTCATCGTGTTATATATTGACTCGACGTCAAAAATTAAATACAGTAATAATGAAGCCTTAAAAGCGAAGCAGTCCAGCCATTTTCTAGCTGAATGTGTATTATATTTAGTAAATTAATAAGTGTTGAAGTTCAAGTATGTTATAGGGTAGTTATTTTTTAAAGATTTTTAAAAACAGATTCAACAAACAATTTGATCATATCAAACCAATAGGCCTGTGTAGCATATTTTGAGGGTCATAAAATGCTGCTTGAAGAAAACACTTAAAAAAATAAACACTACAAAACAAAATTTTTTTTTCACAAAAGCACTTCCATGAATACTACGATTTTAGTCATAAAGTTACCTTCAGGAATATTACCCTGGTCAGAATTTTCCGTAATAAATATGCGTATCCTACTAAAAGATGTTGCCTTACTTAAAACAACAGAATAATATAGTTGCTCATGCACTGAAATTGGTCTGGGTAAGAACAGTGCTGCTCTTTAATTAAAGTGCTTGTGCTGCAAATGCCAAAGATTACAGAAATTAGCATCTTTCCATTTTAAAAGGTAAGTTGGCTGCACTTTACTTGACGTCCTACACTCATTCGATTGTTTTTTTCGATTCGATATTTTCATTCGATTGTTTCATTCGATATATCGTTTGATTAGTTAGGTTAGGTTAATTATCCTGGGAGCCGCATATTCACTACATTAAGCAAAAAGTAAGGAAACGATATATGGATTTAGACAGTTAAGTCGAGTGCTGTCTGTGGATCGCTGCAGGATTGTCTACTGTATGTGGAATCTGTGGTGCAGTGTGTACGGTCTGCTGTGTTGAGACGGCACCTCCGCATTTAATGTCACACAGCGATCGATTATCAAAGCAATATTACAAAAGCAACAAAGGTATTAGCCTACCCTAATTTACCATTTAATAATTTCCCATTTTAAACTGTTCCACAACTATATATAAAATCAATGTTAATTTATATACTTAAAAGAAAACAGGGAAAGTAATTTAACTAAAGCCAACCATCAATATGCAACTAGAAAATATTTGAATTTTGGCTATGAGTTTCCTAAATTAACGTCAGAGCAGATTTGCATAACTCTTTCTATTAGCTCACTTTCTTCTTCTAAGTGAGTACACTGACACACTTACATTTACTCATACTCAACCTACACTACTATAAAGAGGGTATACGCACACTAGTAAGACTCTCTGAATCTGTACAAAATGTTATATGTATATCACCTACACAAACTGACACAAGAAAGTCACTTAACCTGTAACCTATTTTTTTATTTCTGCAATCAAAATAATGAATATATTCCTGATGCACACCTGAAAATAGGTAAAATATCAAATTAAGTACGCACATGGACAAGACCGTGTCTTTTTCCTCAGTATTAGTAAACTTATGTATTTAGGCCTCAATTGTGAGCTTGGAACTTAGAGACTCCCGCTTTGAGTGCCAGAAAACTCTTTCCCTCACACAGACTTCGGCCTTGTGAGGACAATTTCCACTATAGGCTTTGTATATTTTTCTGGAAATAAAAATCTTGTACTTTGTGTTACTTTAAAAGTGACACGATTTTTATCTCTTGTGCCAAATCGTTGTCTAGTTTCTGTTATTTCTTTGGGCCATGACTTCAATAATTTCAAAGAAGAGTTAGTTTTGTTTTAATAAATATTGCTTTGCCAAAAGATTTTCTTAGAAGTTCAAGTTAATATAAACGCTTATAAGGGAAAGCCGTGTAAGTCTATTAAAGTTTTGTGGATACTAACAACTAGGTTAGCAACACACCAATTTTACGGTCAATAATTAATTCCTTTATTCCATCTTTGATTTAAAAATTAAAATCTAACCATGTTAACCAAATATTAAATTGCTAACAGCAAAACCCTTTTATGCGTTGTTTGGCCATATTTTTGTAGTGGAAATCTCATCAAAACTTTCGAGAAACGATTCTAACTGGCAGCTGTTTTTTACATTCAAATTCAATCACCATCAATTCAAGAATTTTACAGTTTAATTCTACATTTTGTATATATACTTCAAAATTTATAAATTTTCCCGCTTTAAAACCGGATCAGCAAGTTAGAATCACTATTGGGATGTACACACCGTGCTAGTACAAGAACACATTTCTCATATTACCTGTACACATGAAACCCTGAGCTAACATGTGATGTCAATACAGTGGTGTATTGCTCCGTATCATGTAACATTCAAGTTATCTGACTAGTTTATCACGGGAGTCTCAAATATCATTTTGCAGCTATGCATGTCTCCATATCTGTTACATTTCTGACTTGACTTACCAAGACTTAAACAATTTTAGCATACAAATAATTGAAAATTGGTGATTTACTAACCAAACTTTCACATTGTTAGGATTAAAAAACAAAATTATAATATTTTGTGAGATTTATAATACCAATGATTTATTTTTTGTGTTAGAACTATTTTCAGCTCAAGGGCACAAAGAAGTTTAGCAAACAAGAAAATAAACAATAAGAAAATGGGAAATTTAGTAGAGCTTTTTAAAATTACAGTTTTGAACTGTAAAATTTTATTATTGCCAATAGATAGTGCATTTGTCATTATTGCTCAATGACACATGATTGTCAAAAGCCAGGAAAACATCATGGGAATTTCAGTGCTGCGGCTTGTGCTGTGTTATAAACAATTTGTGTTAAATATCATTGACACATCATTTTTTAATTTTAAAATATGATAGAATAACTGATGAGTGGGCCTAATATTATGCGTTCAGGTGAAATGGAGTGATAAGAATACCGGAAGATGTGAAAGAGCAAAGCTTTAAGTTCCACTTATGATATTATAAACTAAACAATCATTATCAAATAATTGTATAGCTCTTATTTATTTGTCTTTTTAGCTCTTATTTCAAATTTATTAGATTACAAGAGTTACAAGTAGTAAGTAGTACAATTACTCTGTATCGTCACCAGCTTTGTCCAACTTTCAGATCGTAGATATTAAGTATCCACATCGAGTTTGGACTCATTATTTTTGGAATTTCATGTAGAACTCAAATATATAAATAAAAATATATTTTAACTTAAAATAAAAAAAGTTACAGATCTGTGGATTGTGACAGTAGGTAGGTAAACTTTTTATGAACGGCCAGCCCGGCGAGCGGTCGGAAGGGTGAGTTGAGTTCCGAGAAGGTTCCTAATCCGCTGGGTATCATAGCCAAACCGACGGACTAGGCCTATAATTAAGTGTTCTATCAGAATTTTTTTTTTTTCGATTACCAATCGTTCTCTTTGTGCTTTACCTTCCATAGTATTCAACATCGTCTAGTTTCGAACACTAATTATGTTATTTTTTTTGGTACTTTACTTTCTTACAGGACTTGCAGGATCAGATTCCAACTCCCAAAACATCTTGAATACTTTATTTTACTAATCGTAATAGAAAATGTCTGCAATAATCCTTTAAATAACAGTTTTGATTGTCTGTAGACCTGACAGACAGTTCACATCCACTGTGGGTTCGACGGTTGCATGTGCTCAAGACTTGGATGCTGCACAGCACCAACACACTGCACTCGTACTTCATGGGGCTCGTGTTGCGAAGTTACTCGACACATCTGGAGGAGTCTGTCTTGTCAGCTGACTCTCTGCAGGTCATTGTTCAAGGTCAGTGACACTATAAATCTCAGCATTTATGTACTGGCTGAGGTACTTGTGTTAATAAATACTTTTCACATCTTGGATTTAGTTTTAGCCACATGTTTACTCATTCAGAAAAGATTTGAAATAGTCCTCAAAGCATCCCTGAACATTTTGTTCATTCTCAGTCTCAGATAACCTCAAGCTTCTTCAACACGAAGGTGAAAACAGGAACCCTCTTTTTGTACAAGCTAGAGATAGAAGTTTACCATACAACTCCCATGGTTGTACTTGGGACTCATTTCTAAGTTTTGGCAGCTCAAACATTTTACCCAACTTTTTAGTAATATACTGGTACAGGGTTAAGCAGCTCTGTCTGGATAACCCCTTTATACTTTGCAAAAGAGTAATACCAGGGAAACTTGACTTTACACATCTTGCATGGCATGAAGGTACACTTGTTAAGGTGTGATAATTTTTCTTGGGACCATAAAATAGGGTGCTGATTGGATAGTTTATTCTTATGACACATGAGTTTTATTTCCCTCTAAAATTAAATTACTGTTATTTTTTCAGCTCACAACAAGTTTTTGGATGAAGTAAAAATCCATTGTCTGCAAGACAAAACCAACTATCTAGAAAATTTTATAAAAAGGGTGAGTACATGTTTTACCCTAAGATACCAAAGAGCCATATTTAGTTCTCTCACAAATGCAGATATTATCACACTTTAGTTTCAGAACATATATTTTTACTCTGAAAAATCATATTTTAGTCACACATCACTGACTTGTTGATTCTTATACTCGTATGGTTACAGCTACTAAAGCTATGCTCTATGCTAGCCGAGTTGTGGGAGCTGGAAGTGGTGGGAGGGGGTGACTTGGAGGCTGAGCTGTGTGTGTTGGAGGAAGCCTTCCTTGTGGCCTACCACAGCCTCATACACTGTCTAGAGATGGTCTCGCCTGAAGAGGACCAAGGCAATTTCTGTAAGTGTTCTGTCGCCAATAGAACCATTCCTGGATTATATATATATATATATTCATATTTGTATTGGCCATGATGCCTATACCAAGAAACAAATTTGATATTATATCCTTTATTTTATTTGTTTATTAATTTGGTAAAAGTGTGCGAGTGGCTGGATTTTCGAGATAAGCATAGCCTATCCTACAAACATGAGTAATCGAGCACCAAGCTGGAAACTCAAGCTCAAGCGGAGCTTTTACAATGGTTAGCTGGGTGCGTCTGCAAAGATCATTAATCCATGCTTTGGCCACAATCGGGGATGACGATGATAACGTTTCCTTAGTAGCAGAAAAGGATGATAATATTAAAACCCTTGTATTTTTAACAAAATTTTAGTAAGCAATAGTTGAACCAATTTTATCTTAATAAAACATAATTATATATTTACCAGTTTTCCTAAAATTGTAATATTCGCTAATTGTTTAGTATAAATATTTTTTGTTACAGTGTACGAGCTGAAGTGTGAAATAGCTTCAAGTGAGCCAGAATGTTTTACTCTGGAGGCAAAAAGTATCAACTCGTGAATTGAATCCAATACCAACCTATCAGCCATCTTGTAAATTATTGTTTGTAAAACATTGTTCATAGTGTGTATTTATCTTGTAAATCAGTCTAATTTTCAGGTTTATAGATTTTAAGTTATATTTATTTAGTTTAGTTATGATTTTAACATGTACAAAGAAACTAAACTAGTATGAAAATTACTAAGCACACAAAACTGGATAAAAATTGAACCATGTGAAAAAATTAAACTAATTTAATATTTCCTAAAATTTTATATTGCACTCATTGTTTATCCTAGTCCTTTCAATTTTATTATGGATATTTTATAAAGACAACATGAGATAGAAGCTTGTAAACAACCATTATCATGGGTAAGCGGTGGGGGTAACTATGATATTCTATAGGGATAAATCACAAAAGTTGCAATAACTTTTGAACCGTAAATTGTTACAGCAATGGGGGTAGCACTATTTTTGTTTAGAATTATAAGGAAACCGGCTTTTTTCTTAAAATCCAATATTTTGTTATTTCATGGGTTTTTTATGAAAAAATATCATAAGTTACAATAACTTCGGAACCGTAATTTTTACGGAAATGAAATTTGTACAATTTTGTTCAGAATTTAAAGGACTAAATACTAAAATTTAATCAAAACCGTTCAGGTCGTTTTAGAGAAAATCTGATTTTCAGTTATTTTATGGGGTTTTAAAGGAAAATCACCATTAAAAATAAAAACTTTGAAAAAATGAAAAAAAACCTCTGGAGATATAATAGATTAGTACCTACATACCAAATCTCATCAAAATCGGACAACAGGTATGGTCTGTAGCTCTGTACACATCCACACACAGACACGGACATCACTTCGAAAACCACTTTTTTGGGTTCAGGGAAAATTTTTATCAAACCAATACTTTCTCCATCTACTTTTATGTATAGGGAGTAAAAGTGATCCATAACGGATATATCCACTCAAAACTCAAACTCGAAAATGCTGTTGAAAACAATACATTCTCCATATAAGAGAAAATGTAAAAACAAAACACACATTTTGTGGAAATATATTAGTTCCAGAATTGTGTCTTAAATGACTGACTTGATTATAGTTACTTCAAGTTGTTAAAAGTAAGTTAAGTGTTATTAATTGAATGATGTAAAAAAATAAAACTTAACAAATATAGTCTTTTTTCTTTTTTTTCATTAAGCTAATAAAATATTGTTTTATGGTTATATTATCATCAGGCATCAGGTAATATTTATTATTATTATCATTAACATTATCAATTGGGATGAGGACACCACCTAGGTGTGCATATAAACCTGAACTAGAGGTCGTCCAGTGGTTGAAAACTCAACAAAAAATATGGAATGAACAAACTTCTCTATTTTCACACCCACGCTGTAAATAAAACATGTGGTTGGAATTTCTTTAACTTGTTTTGATTTTCTGTTTATATTTCGTTGTTATTTCGTCACAGCATGGTAACCTAAAACGCCCATGTACATTTTTTTTCAAATTTAAAATTAATTTTTTGAGCTTATATTTGCATCTATTTTAGTTAATAAAGCGATTCTGCACATCTTGAAGAAAATATCTTGTTAGCAGTATGCGTAGATTTTCCCTGCGATGCACACGAGCTGAGAAAAGAGGTTTTAAAGAAACATGCTTGCCTAGTAATATATAGATATGAGAGAAGGATGAGTGTAGAATGAAGTGAGATGATCTGTGTAGCTTTGTTTCTGACTAAAATAAGTTTATTTTACTAGCCAGGATAATTTTTTCAAGCCACATTATTATATTAAACATTTATTAATATTTATTTATAATAATTATAATCAATAAGAAGGCCCAAATACAATAGAATTAATTATAGAACTGCGGCAAAAGACATTTTAATGTATTTTGACATTTCAATTCAGTGTGATTTATACTCCTCTTTAGATTACTCGACTTCCTACCCTGCATTTTAGTTAATCAAACTTTTGATTAATGGGTTCCTTTTCATGTCAGGAAATTCAGAGGTAAAGTTTGGCAGTAAACTGTGTCGTAGCGTGACACCACGCTCATGTCTCTGTCATTGTGAGGTCGATCAGAAACGCTTGTGTGCTAAAAATGGATTTTTAGGAAATATGTGTCAGTATTAAAACTTAAAACTCAGGTAAATTGTCTGGAAAACATATTCTGTAAATTTCCATTGGTACTACATTAGTGAGAAGAGAAGGTCTGAATAGATTTGTATTTTATTTACTGTGAACAATATTCCATCCCCCTTCACTGCAATATCTTATTCTGCTGTCATCAATACATGTGATCTTGTTTCCACGGCAACCAACTTGTTATTCTAACACTCAGCTGCCTTGCTTGGCTTCTGCTGCTGAATTGTTTATTTACAGGAAAATACTGCAAATCAATTTTCAATTTACATAGGTTTAAACTTGATTCGAGGTCATGCATTGAATATTGCAAGTTATGTGTGCTGCGAAAAATTCCTTTAGAAGAGTGGCCAAAAGTAAGAAACTAAGGAAGTATGCGTCTCTGTGTTCTGACAATGATATTTTGGATGAGAAATACAAGTTTGTTCAACGAGGCAGGAGTGCTGAACAGCTTACAAGGTTAAATTCTGACTCAGTGAAAGATGTAAGTTATAAAAGATTTACTCTTACCTAAATCTCAACTCTACTAAATAAAATTGTAGATATTAAAAAAAAGCAAGCTTTCTTGAATGTTGGTAGTAATATAATAGGTCTATAATAGCCTTCAAAAGTATAAATTGCCAGAAAGAAAAACTTACAAAAAAAGCTATGTAACTTAAGTTTTTCTTTTTGGCAATTTTTACCCGCACAATTAAATCAAAGCTAAGAGTACTATGATGTTTTATGTGAGAATGAGCAAAATAGATGTACTAAATACAACCTACTAAGTTTCTGCTTTAAAGTTTAAGTGTTTAATAAACAGTAGCCTATTGTGTCTAACTTATGGAATTTTGATAAACTACTAGGGTACTAGGTTTGCAGCGTCGTTCTAGGAGCTAATGTCTTGGTGTAAAATACTTAATATCCAGGGTTTCTATTTAAAACAGCGTAGGTAGCAACATTACTTTTTAATTTCCATATTAACCAAAAATGAAAAAAAAAAAAATAGTAGCAAGAGTTGTTTTATTCATACTTATAGGCTACTAAAGCTTTTCCTTTTTGAAAATGTTTGTATAAATATTTGATATTCTAATATAGGCCTAATATTTGATAAATAATAGGTCATAAATAAGGTATTTCCTTATTTATATTTACTACCAAAAAAACTTTGCCCCAAAATTACTTGACCAAGGCTATTTAAAATTACAAAAAATTGATCTAATATTAAAATAATTTTAATATTTTTCATTAAAAACTGAAACTCAAAATAGGATGAAATTCATGTCCTAAGGTAAAATACTACAGTACTTTGGTAACTTTGGCTAACTGTTTGGTATTCATATTTTTTTTATTGTTATTTTTTGTATGTGGAAATAAAACTGATTTCATTAATTTGACCTAAGAGATAACTTATAATAAGAGTTTATAACTTGTTTATACCACAACTGTAAAACTATCTATGTTGCTAGGACTTTGAAGATGAAATTCTTTTTCCGTATGATGCCACCAAACGTCTTTCACAACAAGTTGAGGTAAAAATTATGATATAACGTTTTTTTTTTAAGGGAAGTTGTTATAGTTTTAATTATTAAGGCTAGATGGCTGGATATCTATGCTCATTTAGACTAGCCGATTAATTCCTTGGAGGTAAGTAATTTAAAATTCTTTTTGTTTTTACATTAAGTAATTTTTACATTCTTGAAATTAAAAACAATCAATGCTATAATTTATAATGTACTTGATCGGACAAGCAGCTCAGTTAGGAGGTAGTTGATCAGTGTCAATATGATTCAGCCTATCAAAACAAAGAATCATCCTTGACATACATCATGACATACATGTGGCCTGTAAACATGCATAAAGGGTGGCTAATCCATGTTATTTCCTGGATATGTGTAAATCCGGGGACCCTGTGTGTAACTTAACATTGTTATATGTGTCTAGTACAAACAAATCTTTTCCTTAAGACTGACTAAAACCCCAGCATTTTTTTCACAACATGAAACCCTTTTTTAGGGTACTTGAGGACTAGTAAGCCTAATTAATCAAAGCAAGTAATTTGCAAGCTTATATACAGTAGACTCCCTCTTATACGGACTCCTCGGGACCGAGGCCAGTCCGGATAACGGGTTTTCCGGTTACATCGACATCCCCAAAAACTTGTTAAAACGGACTGTTTACTGTGATATTCGACTTAAATTTAGGAGAGCATTGTATTTAGACAAGTGATCACTTGTCTCAAATCTTTTCCATGAGAATAGTCGTTTCAGTACTGCACACTTCCTGCCGATCTAGTCCGGTTAAACCAATGTGCTGATAAAAATTGTCCGGTTAAACTGATGTCCGGTTAAAAGGTGTCCGGATAAGAGGGAGTCTACTGTAGATAGACAAATGCAAGGTTAAAAGAGGCCGCCAACCTCTTAAAAAAGATTATTGTACATTGCATTGGAGCTTTTGCAGATTTATATTTAATTTTAAATACATTATTAAGTCTTTAACAATAGTGTCAAGGAGGTCCAGGATTTCACAACTCTTGTTTAATTCATAGACGAGGACTAATAGAAATAGACTAAATTAACCGTCCCAGTATTCAATTATCTATCCAGTCTTTAAAATACTAGGTGTTCTGTAAATTAAGGTCGCTATCAAGCTCCAGTCTCAGCAAAGCGAGCTAGTTAAAATCTGACATCAGCACCGTTTGTTATTATTTTTTTCACTATTATTCTATTATTCTATAGTTTGTCTCCTCTCCCTGTTATTTAATTGTAGTAACCGATAACAATGTAATTGAACCGCATTGTGTTATTAGATTTTTATGGCCTAAGAATCAACCACTCCATCGTCTGTTCATTGTGACTGTAAGACGTTTACTTCCATAACATTGTTACAGGTGCTACTGGAAGAGAACGGACAGTTGCGCCGCTCACTGGTGGAGGCCGAGGCTCGTCTGAAGGGTGTAGTCACCAAGTGTCCCCCGGCCATGGCCACTCACGGCCGAGCATCTGACCTGGCCGCTAGTAAGATTGTTGAGCTGAGCAAGCGAGTCCGCGAGCTCACAGCTGACCTGGAGGTGGCCAAGATGAGATGTCGCACCTTCGAACTGTCCACCCTTACTGCCTCTGCGGATCCTCAGGAGAAATGTGGTGGGTAGTTATTTAACAAGTGTAAACATTGTTTACGTATTTTAAAGTCAATATTCATAATAGGCAATTGAGAACGTTCCATTTTTAAATGAAATTTTTTCAGATGAGGTAAATTAGTAGGCTTCACTTACCTTTTTTGGCTGTTAGGCTACGGCCACACGGGCTTTTTTTTCACGCACAAACGCAGCGTGAAAACACGCGAAAACTTAGAGTAGCATTGAAACAAATAGACACCCGCTACTGCGGGAAAACACACTGCGTGTGGCATACCTCATTACATTTAATGCTGCTCATATTCCTTGCGTTTTTTCACGCTGTGTTCTTGCGTGAAAAAACGCCCGTGTGGCCGTAGCCTTAGAATACACTAATGTCAAATTTATAATTAATGAGAACATTCTGTGGGATTAAGTTTAGTTTAAAAATATGAGAACAACACATCTTCACTCTTAACTGCTTTTCTATAAATAATCTACTGTAAGAAAGCATGTCATTCTCATGTTAAATTGTTGCTAGTTTTACACAATAAATAAATGAAAGATTTTGTTGAGTTGAGCCTCCAAAAGACGTGTTTGTATAGTTAATAAATAGTCTTTTAAAAGGAGAACACATTTTAAACAGTCTACTCTAAACTTATTGAAAAATAATTCATTCAAAGTCAGTTCACAGAACTTATGTAGATTAATGATCAATTGTTTATCTGTAGCTGAATATAGTAAAAAAGTATTGTAGTAATAGTAAAAAAGTCTAGCTTTTTGATGGCTTAGCTTCCCTTGATGATTGGTCTTTCAATAAATGATCCTGACTCAATAAATTCAAACTTCAATAAATTTCTCTGTAATAAAGCTAATAAGATCATTTTAGTCCTACTCTCAATTTGTATTCATATTCAGGCTAAAATACCCACTCAAGTGTGTTGTCTCACAGAATTGATAATACAAAATGATTGAATAACTTATTGTTAAAACTTAACACTTTTTTTTCGATTAGGTAATCAGCTTCTACTATCATAACTAATAACAATTGTTTAATTTTATAGCCGACATTAAAAGTGAAAAATCGTCAGAAAATGAAATGAAAGAGTTGACAGATAAATTGTCAAGTGCAAACTTGAAAGTTTGTGAATACAGGAACCAGTGTCAGCAGCTAAAGCATGAACTCAAACTTGCTCACAAAGTAAGTTCTTTTCAGATTATTCTTTATCTTAATCAAAAGTTTAATATTTCTTGCTTAAAACTCTTATTAGAAAGAATGATTTATATGACTCATTTATTGACACCTAAGTTGGTTGCAATTTTAGAATTGTGTTTTTGTGTTTAACATTGAACCATACGGTTAAACAATGCTAACTAGCATTAAGAGGCGGTCTAAAACAATTTGGCTGTGATATTAGGGCTCATATTTACTACTAAAAGAGCTTGCATTTCTCAACCTTCAACCAAAATTAAAATTTTTGCTATCAATTATTGGCCACATTCAAATAAAGGATTTTAGTATAATGAAGCTCTTTTTGTCTGACAACTACTGGGAGTACATCCCACTGGCCACATGATTGCCGCTTCTTTATCATCCGTTTTGTGGTAGGCCCTGATCAGTGAGGTAGGGGAGGGGGTGAGCATTACATCCATAGTCAATGGCCCTGGTGGAGGGGGTTGGAGAGGGAGAGCACAGCAGATACAGACATTACAGCAACGGATCAACGAACTGTCAGAGAAAACAGCCAATCCTGACGCTGCCGACAGGGAAGCTAGTAGGTCACCTTTTTGCTATGATTTATTAATGAGTTTAGTACTTTTCAACAAGGTAAAACTAAATGTTTTTATTCAACTGAACTTTTGTCAATTTTAACTGAAAAAAATACTTGTCTGTTTCCTGTAATGTAAATAAAGCTTATTTTTAAATGGCTGATTAACACATTCACCAACAGGTTACACAAGGCCACTCATACAGAGGAGTGTGGCGGCTTGGAGGGAATGTTTTAAAAAGCATGTTGAGATGTACCGGTACCTAATCACTTTTAGCGAAAGGCAAACTTTTTAAGATATAATATAAACAAAATTTATATCTTTGTTAATCACTGTATACGCAGGCGTACAATTAATTTTTAACAATTCTTTTAGGAAAAGCATTGTCAGCAGCTCGGCTGGTGGAAAAAGAACTGAGAGCAGAGTTGGAGAAAGAAGTGTCTGCACTGAAGGAACAACTGGGCGAGAAGCAGAAGAAGGTAGCCTGTGACTGCAATAAAAAATAATGTAAAATGCAGAGATCCATAAAGACAACATTACCAGCATAATAGTCAATATTAACTACAATGAAATGTCTCAGTAGTTTAGTGTGTTGTTTTATAGGCTATTGGAAATTGGGTGTTTCCAATCAATATGTAGAACTCACTATTATCAATTAATCCTATTAAAACATTCTGAGATATTTATTTTATATCATTGCAAAGAAAATAAAAAATAAAATTAAGTTTCTTAAGAAATATAAACTGAAATAATAATTTGTCTATAAAAACACAAGGAAATGCACAGTGTGGAATTGATCAGTGCTTTACAAAAGGTGTCCTAGACTGAAGTGAGGGGGGGATGGTGAAGAAAAGTAGGCCGCAGTGTTCCTGGAATGTGGTGCATGAGGTACTGTACTGTCATGGCTGTCACTGCTGACAACCTATAAAAATACATATTTTTATACCAAAAAGTAACAACCCGGTCATTTTGACAGCTATTTGACCCCTCCTTGGTTGAGGCAGTGAGTCTAAAATGTTATGGTTTTGATGCAGTAACCAGAAAAAGTATGAAAAACTTGAAACTTTTTCCTCACAATTCAATTATGAAGAAATCATAATGCAAATTTTAAAATGTGTTGAATCTGCATTTAACTCACTTAAATAAAGTACTAAAGTTACAGTTTCAGTAGAACAGATTCTTTCCTCACCCTCTGTGTACTATCAGAAAAGAGAAATCTAGTAAGTGTCAATAATTTGATGACCAAATCAAATGTTACAATTATTCATATTCATTAAACTATTTTTTTCTTCTTTTTTAACAGAGGTTGGCAGCCTCTTTTAACCTTGTATTTGCCCGTCCACATAGACTACAGATCTGTGCGTGGAACGTATCCAGCAAAGCAAGGGGTGAGCCGGTACAGTACGAAGGGGAACTGTACTGATAAAATGTTTTCGGCAGTGACCAGGATCCGAACCCACGACATTGCTGCCTTGGGCCCGAAGTCCGTGACGCTACCGACTGAGCCACCGACTCACCAAAACACCCAATAATAACAACTACATATTGAGTTATGTGTTATTTCCCTAACACATAACTCAATCTATTGTGAAGTCGTATTATATGATTCTTTTAAACCATTTTAGTTCACAATGTTCATTAGACCTTATTCTCACAGGTTGAAGCTATGAAGGCTCGGACCCGAGTGTTGGAGACCTCACTGTCTGAGCTGAGAGGTCGACTGTCTACATTATTAGACAAATCTACACACGATGATCAACTCATATCTGCTCTCACGGTACCTAAATAATGAACTATAGTAGTAACGTTTTGGCAAACCTCAGCTGTTAACCTATTGTTTTCAAGGTAGAAACAAGTGAAGGGGATTGATTTCTTCCCATAAAAACCGCCTGTACTTTGTAAACAGAGTATAGTAAGTTCAACAATCATTAAATTTTATGACCAGAATCATTGTGAATCATTATGAACTGCCATCATTGAAGTTTAGGATACGTATATTTGTTGTGCATGAGAACAGTGAGATAAGAAATAAATAACAACAAAATAAGTACGTAAACACCAGCAAAATTAGTTAGAGCTAAATAAGTACACCCCATTCTGTGGGGATATTTTTATTCTTTTCAAGCAAGAAACATCACCTTGAAGGTAGTCTGCCTTCCAGATTTCCCAAAATTGACTAAGAAAACTGAAACTACTTCAATGTAAATCAATCTGAGGAACATTCATCTTGAGGAGCCTTTAGGAAAGTAAAATTGCAATTACAAGTGATCATAAAAAATTGTTCTAGGCTCAGCTGGGGTCATTGACAGACAAGAGCCAAGAACGTAGTGCTACCAACCGCATAGAACAGCACAATAAACTGTTGGAGCAGCAGTTGACTGAGGTACTTCATTCAACTTTAACTTTGGGTGTTTTCGTTACGTACTACATGCTAAAATAGAGTTGTAGTGTATAATCATAGATAAAACATACTCCCTTAGTAGATTTCTCATCCTTATGGAACAGCTGAAGACAATTTTATTGTTAGTTCTGTACGGTTCATGTAGAGGTCGTGTTTTGTTTACAATTAGTTTCCCGTTATTACAGCCATTTAAAACCTCGTTTAACCAAATAATACGATCTAATCATAAACAATAATAACCTGTCCCCTAGTTATATATAACCAAACAGTAAAGCACAAATCAAGAAATTAACCCTAAAATAATAGAAACAAAGTTTCGTCGACACTAGCGCCTATGTGTCACGTACATGAACTAGACACGAAAAACGTGCTTCAAAATTTACAATGGGATGAGAAGTCTACTTGTGTTGGTTAGTCTATGGTATAATGTTAATGTTAGGATCTAGAACCTTTTATTTTTTGACCCTCCTTCTTGTCCTAGGACACTAGGTTCTAGCCCAGAACTGTTTTTTCATATTACTTCAGGCTAGTCCTAGAGGGACGCAACATTATGACATAGATATTTTTGATTGGCGGTATTTGAACCCAGGACTTTGGGGTCAGAAGCCCTTTGGTCTACCACTGGAGCAATTCGCTTCCTAAGACTTGCTATGCCAGTATCAAAGACCTTGATTCATTAAAGATTGCACTGGATAATTAAATTTTAGTAGTTTGTTGTTCTATGTGAGTTGGTCCCAGCTTAGCTCCTGAGGAACTATTCATCTCGGCGGCAAGGACAACCAACTTGGAATTAATCTGAACTGCTGTTCTAAAGACACTGGCCATCTGATGTTGAAGAAAACATACCAGTATTAGATCCCCCCCCCCAAGACTCAGATCAAATACAATTAAAAATGTTTTTTGTTATTTTGTGGACATTTATAATAGAACCTAGGTTTAGTTAAAGATAAAATAATAATTTTTACGGTTTAGAAATTAAATTAGTTTTATATTTACATAAAATGTTGCATGCATCTAGTATACAGAATTTATATGTCACGGTACAAGTAAATTTCAGTACAATAATTTGTGTTTTTAGGAAAAATCTAAGTCAATACATTTACAAAATGCACTTGTTGAAAAAGACCAAGAAACAATAGACTTGTTGGAGAAAATAAAAGAGCTTCAAAATTTAGGGTAAGTAAGTAATGCTTACTTAAATTGATTTGCTTAGGTATGCCACAATAAGTAAAATTATGTGTTTTGTGAGCTAATTGTATAACTCTTTTATGAGGTGTTCTGTTGGTTCAGTAAAAGACACTTGTGTATAACATATCTAATTGTTTTTAAGATCATAGAATTAATTTTTCCTACAGTCACCCGACAAAGTTGGTTTCCTTGTACTGTTTATATTACAGAAAGCTGCTAATTGCTGCATATTTATACTTCGTCGTACGGTTTATACTTTGGCGCAAATTAGGAGTCCAACGAAACAACACAAAACAGCGTGGTTCTATTATGCACGTAATCCGTGTACGCTTGGAAATAGGTTGGCAACACTTAAAGATAAATACTATGAGCAGCTGATTGACTATTATAACTACGATTTAACCTGTCATTTCGTGTTTATAGTTTATGTTCTCTTAACGGTATTTCTGAACTTTCTGGACTTTTCTTTTAAACGTTTTTAAAACATTCCTACGATCTTAATAAACAATAAAATACCTTTAAAGCATTTTTTTTAGGCGCAGAAACCACTGCAAATTACAAAAATATACGGAACTATTTTCTCAAGTCGCGGAGCACATTGCTTGCCGAGGAAAAAATAGCGGAGTGATACGGACCGGGTACTACTTTCTCTAGGGCACCTATTGGTGTTGCTAGCTGAACCTAAAAACGTGTTGTATAGTGTTTGAAAGACTAATTATTTATATGCTTTATAGTGACTGTAGGAAAAATATAATGTGTAACACGAGTGCAAAAGGCCTTTGCTGCACTCGAGATCATTCCGTACTCGCCTGCGGCTCGTGCGTAAACGTTGCTCTCGTGTGCAGCAAAGCGCCACTTTGCTCACTAGTTACACAAATAACTATTAACTAATCAAGTGTGGATTGTGGCACAGATTTAATTTCCCAAGCAGCTGAATATATATGAATAAAATGCTCTTGATTAAGATCCTTGTAAAAATAAATACATCCAAAAACAATACATCAAGTTGATAAGTAACAAAGTCTAGAGCATTTGATTAAGAATTTAAAATAAAACCTGTTAAACTTTTAAAGTATTAAACTATAAACTATTAAACTTTTAAGAAATAAGAAAAAAATATGTTTCACTATATAAGTTTACCACCAATCTTACCTTACTTAATGTTTGAGTTTGATCATTGACTAGCAATGACCTCTATTGAAAAGTAGGCTGTAAGAGATGGATCATAAACATAATGTTGGAAGAGAAAGTTAAAATATCAATGACCATTTGAATCGTGGTGGGACTTGAACAAAATCTTTCCAAGACTTTTCCGAAATATTATAAATACTTGTTAATAGATAAGATTAATCAAGGCTATAAATTTCACACTAAAATTTCTAGCAACATCTCTTATTTTCTCACTGAAGTTGTTGTTGATTTTTATTATTTGTTAATAGATAACTGAGACTCATCGTTATGCAGAGAATTATTTCTTCTGTATTCAATCTTTGATTTTTAAATGACTGTTTAGTAATGTAAGGGGTTTTTTCAGGGAGAAAGATAACTTTGAAAAACCAAGAAGTGCCTCCTCAGAGATAGCCCAAAGCACCAACCCAACTCTGGTAATATATTTTGTAGGGATGGACGGGATTGAATTTTTAGTTCGGGACGGGACGGGACGGGATTTTTATTTCCTTCCCGATTTTTGGGACGGGACGGGACGGGATTTTTTTCTGTGCATAAAAAGAAATTACTGTATTGCAGTTACCAAAAAAGACATACGAAATCAATTTTTACCATTTGTGGCACTGATCTATAAAAACCAAAAAATGGGTAACAATTTACAGGTACCTATAGAAACTTGTGACTCGCGGGTCACGGGGTGATCGTCTGTATGACTCACGGTCACGGCGCGATCGTCGTCATGACTCGCGGTCACGGCGCGATCGTCGGTATGACTCGCGGTCAAGGCGCGATCGTCGTCATGACTCGCGGTCACGGGGTTATCGTCGGCATGACTCCACGGTCACGGCGCGCTCGTCGTCATGACTCGCGGTCACGGCGCGATCGTCGTCATGACTCGCGGTCACGGCGCGATCGTCGTCATGACTCGCGGTCACGGCGCGATCGTCGTCATGACTCGCGGTCACGGGGTTATCGTCGGCATGACTCCACGGTCACGGCGCGCTCGTCGTCATGACTCGCGGTCACGGCGCGATCGTCGTCATCACTCGCGGTCACGGCGCGATCGTCGTCATGACTCGCGGTCACGGCGCGATCGTCGGTATGACTCACGGTCACGGCGCGATCGTCGGTATGACTCACGGCCACGGCGCGATCGTCGGTATGACTTTGGGTTCACGGGGTTATCGACGGTATGACTCGAGTCACGGCATGATCGTTGTCATGACTCGCGATCACGGCTCGATCGTCAGCATGACTTCGCGGTCACGGCGCGATCGTCGGTATGACTCGCGGTCAAGGCGCGATCGTCGTCATGACTCGCGGTCACGGGGTTATCGTCGGCATGACTCCACGGTCACGGCGCGCTCGTCGTCATGACTCGCGGTCACGGCGCGATCGTCGTCATGACTCGCGGTCACGGCGCGATCGTCGGTATGACTCGCGGTCAAGGCGCGATCGTCGTCATGACTCGCGGTCACGGGGTTATCGTCGGCATGACTCCACGGTCACGGCGCGCTCGTCGTCATGACTCGCGGTCACGGCGCGATCGTCGTCATCACTCGCGGTCACGGCGCGATCGTCGTCATGACTCGCGGTCACGGCGCGATCGTCGGTATGACTCACGGTCACGGCGCGATCGTCGGTATGACTCACGGCCACGGCGCGATCGTCGGTATGACTTTGGGTTCACGGGGTTATCGACGGTATGACTCGAGTCACGGCATGATCGTTGTCATGACTCGCGATCACGGCTCGATCGTCAGCATGACTTCGCGGTCACGGCGCGATCGTCGGTAGGACTCCACGGTCACGTCGTGATCGTCGGTATGATTCGCCATCACGGCATGATCGTCAGTATGACTCCGCGGTAACGGCGCGATCGTCGGTAGGATTCCGCGGTCACGGCACGATCGTCGGTAGGACTTCACGGTCACGGCGCGATCGTCGGTAGGACTTCGCGGTCACGGCGCGATCGTCGGTATGACTCGCGGTCACGGCGCGATCGTCGGTAGGACTCCACGGTCACGGCGCGATCGTCGGTATGACTCCGCGGTAACGGCGCGAACGTCGGTAGGACTCCGCGGTCACGGCGCGATCGTCGGTAGGACTCCGTGGTCACGTCGTGATCGTCGGTATGACTCGCCATCACGGCATGATCGTCGGTATGACTCCGCGGTAACGGCGCGATCGTTGGTATGACTCGGGTCACGGCGTGATCGTCGGTATGATTCGTGGTCACGGCGTGATCGTCGGTAGGACTTCGCGGTCACGGCGCGATCGTCGGTAGGACTTCGCGGTCACGGCGCGATCGTCGGTAGGACTCCGCGGTCACGGCGTGACTGTCAGTATTACTCCGCGGTCACAGCCCGATCGTCGTTATGACTCGCGGTCACGGTGCGATCGTCGGTCCAATAATCGCGGCCACGGCGCGATCGTCGTTATGACTCCGCGGTCACGGCGTAATCGTCGAAATGACTATGTCTCCTGCGTTCGCGGACCTATCGCTCGCAATAACGGCGTTATCGGCACTCGCGAAGCGGAAAAATCGCCGACGATCGGACCAAATCCCGTCCCGAAAAATTCCCGAGTCAAATGTAATCCCGTCCCGATAATCGGGAATATTTTTTTCCCGAAAAATTCCCGAAATTTCGGGACCCGTCCATCCCTAATATTTTGCTTGTAGTCTAAAACTAAACATATTAAGCCTATATTTTCATCAAAATATAGAGCTTTTATGTGGGACTTTTGTAGTTTTTGGTGTTTTTAACTAAGGTTTTTATCAGGAGGTGAGCCATTTATTCCTTCATTAAAAATATAAGATACTTGGCTCAAATAACAGTACAGTGAATAGTTACACCAATATTTATTATTGACTAATTTTAGTCCTTTTACTGTATTTTCCTTAAATCAATATTTTGATATTGGGGAACACACTTTCTTTGAGAAGCCCCTGCCTGGAATCTCAACACCATGTAGGACTGTTGTCGGTGGACATGGTCATCCCAATGATGATGGAGTTTGAAGATAGTTGGACCTGTTTGTCACGGTTTGTCCGCTCCAAGAAAATTGACCTTTATTGGGACGCGGCATAGGTGATAATAACTAAATACCAGAAACGTTATGAGCCCTGAGAACTTAGATCACATGTTAGTTTGACTTAAAGAAATGTGAAAAACAATCAGGTCTGCGTGTGACAGAGTAGAGGGGGTTTTAGTGAGTAGTCTGATCCATTCAGGAGTCTCACATTGCAAGGTGGCCACCTGTGTGTGTAAAAGTAGTTTTCTTTCCCTTCGTAAAAAAATACCATCTTAAGTCAAGGCAAACTACAATGAACAAATTTTTTTTTAAAAGCTATAAAGTATAAACAGTGTAGGGTCAATTAAATTGTGCTTGTATCTAATTGTTGTTAGTGTGAATTTTGATTTCTTCCGTACTTTTAAAAACCATCTATCAATTTAGTGTTTATAGTTTAGTACAAAAAAATATTGTACTTCATGTTTTAGTTTTATCCTTGCTAAATATAATGTTCTCACTGACTAGGTGCATTAAACAATTTCAATGTTGTGTGTCCTCAAACAATTTGCACCTTGTTTTATCTGTAAAAACATAGTTAAAACATGTAACATTGTAAACATTGTAACAGCAAACTTGGACTTTATAAACTAGAACACTAGTATGTTGCCTTTTTGTTTTACCATTGTAAGGTATTTCTCATAAGATATTATGTGTATTTTTACAGGAGGCCCTTAGTTTAGCAGCTGATGCAGAGAGAGTTCGTCTACTGGAACTATTGGCTGTAACAAACAAGCGACTAGAACAAGAGCGCCAACTGTCTACACAGGCTCAGGTGTGTGCAATGATAAAAAAAGACCAAATAAAAGAGAGGCAGAATATGCTATAGAATATTTTTTAAGAAACTGCTAGTAAAAATCCTGGTAATTTTATTCCAAGGAAAAATCTAAAGAAAAAATCCTTCTCATTCCAAGGATATCCAAACAAGCCTGTTTTTCACTATATTTACTGCCATCGTGTTTTTGGTATTACAGAAAACTCTACTATAGCATGATGTAAGCTAACACAAAGCTCTACTGTAGTGTGATGTGTTACAGGATCTGTTGAGAAGAGAGAGACACAAGGCAGCAAGACTAGAGACCAAGCTGGCCAGACATGAGATAGAAAGAGCCAGTGATAGCAGCTGCCGTGGCTAGACCAATCCTTCCCCCTCCCCCTTACCTCGTAAACTAACACAAAGTTGTACTGTAGTATGATGTGTTACAGGATGTGTTGAGGAGAGAGAGACACAAGGCAGCAAGACTAGAGACCAAGCTGGCCAGACATGAGCTAGAGAGAGCCAGTGCTACCAGCCGTAGTAGCTACCACAATCCTTCCCCCTCCCCCTTACCTCGTAAACCAACACAAAGCTCTACTTTAGTGTGATGTGTTACAGGATGTGTTGAGGAGAGAGAGACACAAGGCAGCAAGACTAGAGACCAAGCTGGCCAGACATGAGATAGAAAGAGCCAGTGATAGCAGCTGCCGTGGCTAGCACAATCCTTCCCCCTCCCCCTTACCTCGTAAACTAACACAAAGCTCTACTTTAGTATGATGTGTTACAGGATGTGTTGAGGAGAGAGAGACACAAGGCAGCAAGACTAGAGACCAAGCTGGCCAGACATGAGATAGAAAGAGCCAGTGATAGCAGCTGCCGTGGCTAGCACAATCCTTCCCCCTCCCCCTTACCTCGTAAACTAACACAAAGTTGTACTGTAGTATGATGTGTTACAGGATGTGTTGAGAAGAGAGAGACACAAGGCAGCATGACTAGAGACCAAGCTGGCCAGACATGAGCTAGAGAGAGCCAGTGCTACCAGCCGTAGTAGCTACCACAATCCTTCCCCCTCCCCCTTACCTCGTAAACCAACACAAAGCTCTACTTTAGTGTGATGTGTTACAGGATGTGTTGAGGAGAGAGAGACACAAGGCAGCAAGACTAGAGACCAAGCTGGCCAGACTTGAGCTAGAGAGAGCCAGTGCTACCAGCCGTAGTAGCTAGCACAATCCTTCCCCCTCCCTCTTACCTTGTAAACTAACATAAAGCTCTACTGTAGTGTGATGTGTTACAGTTACAGGATGTGTTGAGGGGAGAGAGACACAAGGCAGCAAGACTAGAGACTAAGCTGGCCAGACATGAGCTAGAGAGAGCCAGTGCTATCAGCCTAAGTAGCTACCACGATTCTTCCCCCTCCCTCTTACCTCATAAACTAACACAAAGCTCTACTGTAGTGTGATGTGTTACAGGATGTGTTGAGGGGAGAGAGACACAAGGCAGCAAGACTAGAGACTAAGCTGGCCAGACATGAGCTAGAGAGAGCCAGTGCTACCGGCCGTAGTAGCTACCACAATCCTTCCCCCTCCCTCTTACCTTGTAAACTAACACAAAGCTCTACTGTTGTATGATGTGTTACAGGATGTGTTGAGGAGAGAGAGACACAAGGCAGCAAGACTAGAGACCAAGCTGGCCAGACATGAGCTAGAGAGAGCCAGTGCTACCGGCCGTAGTAGCTAGCACAATCCTTCCCCCTCCCTCTTACCTTGTAAACTAACACAAAGCTCTACTGTAGTATGATGTGTTACAGGATGTGTTGAGGAGAGAGAAACACAAGGCAGCAAGACTAGAGACCAAGCTGGCCAGACATGAGCTAGAGAGAGCCAGTGCTACCGGCCGTAGTAGCTACCACAATCCTTCCCCCTCCCTCTTACCTTGTAAACTAACACAAAGCTCTACTGTAGTGTGATGTGTTACAGGATGTGTTGAGGAGAGAGAGACACAAGGCAGCAAGACTAGAGACCAAGCTGGCCAGACATGAGCTAGAGAGAGCCAGTGCTACCGGCCGTAGTAGCTACCACAATCCTTCCCCCTCCCTCTTACCTTGTAAACTAACACAAAGCTCTACTGTTGTATGATGTGTTACAGGATGTGTTGAGGAGAGAGAGACACAAGGCAGCAAGACTAGAGACCAAGCTGGCCAGACATGAGCTAGAGAGAGCCAGTGCTACCGGCCGTAGTAGCTAGCACAATCCTTCCCCCTCCCTCTTACCTTGTAAGCTAACACAAAGCTCTACTGTAGTGTGATGTGTTACAGGATGTGTTGAGGGGAGAGACACAAGGCAGCAAGACTAGAGACCAAGCTGGCCAGACATGAGCTACAGAGAGCCAGTGCTACCGGCCGTAGTAGCTACCACAATCCTTCCCCCTCCCTCTCACCTTGTAAACTAACACAAAGCTCTACTGTAGTGTGATGTGTTACAGGATGTGTTGAGGAGAGAGAGACACAAGGCAGCAAGACTAGAGACCAAGCTGGCCAGACATGAGCTAGAGAGAGCCAGTGCTACCGGCCGTAGTAGCTACCACAATCCTTCCCCCTCCCTCTTACCTTGTAAACTAACACAAAGCTCTACTGTTGTATGATGTGTTACAGGATGTGTTGAGGAGAGAGAGACACAAGGCAGCAAGACTAGAGACCAAGCTGGCCAGACATGAGCTAGAGAGAGCCAGTGCTACCGGCCGTAGTAGCTACCACAATCCTTCCCCCTCCCTTGTAAACTAACACAAAGCTCTACTGTTGTATGATGTGTTACAGGATGTGTTGAGGAGAGAGAGACACAAGGCAGCAAGACTGGAGACCAAGCTGGCCAGACATGAGCTAGAGAGAGCCAGTGCTACCGGCCGTAGTAGCTAGCACAATCCTTCCCCCTCCCTCTTACCTTGTAAACTAACACAAAGCTCTACTGTAGTGTGATGTGTTACAGGATGTGTTGAGGAGAGAGAGACACAAGGCAGCAAGACTAGAGACCAAGCTGGCCAGACATGAGCTAGAGAGAGCCAGTGCTACCGGCCGTAGTAGCTACCACAATCCTTCCCCCTCCCTCTTACCTTGTAAACTAACACAAAGCTCTACTGTTGTATGATGTGTTACAGGATGTGTTGAGGAGAGAGAGACACAAGGCAGCAAGACTAGAGACCAAGCTGGCCAGACATGAGCTAGAGAGAGCCAGTGCTACCGGCCGTAGTAGCTAGCACAATCCTTCCCCCTCCCTCTTACCTTGTAAACTAACACAAAGCTCTACTGTAGTGTGATGTGTTACAGGATGTGTTGAGGAGAGAGAGACACAAGGCAGCAAGACTAGAGACCAAGCTGGCCAGACATGAGCTAGAGAGAGCCAGTGCTACCGGCCGTAGTAGCTACCACAATCCTTCCCCCTCCCTCTTACCTTGTAAACTAACACAAAGCTCTACTGTTGTATGATGTGTTACAGGATGTGTTGAGGAGAGAGAGACACAAGGCAGCAAGACTAGAGACCAAGCTGGCCAGACATGAGCTAGAGAGAGCCAGTGCTACCGGCCGTAGTAGCTACCACAATCCTACCCCGTCCCTCTTACCTTGTAAACTAACACAAAGCTCTACTGTTGTATGATGTGTTACAGGATGTGTTGAGGAGAGAGAGACACAAGGCAGCAAGACTAGAGACCAAGCTGGCCAGACATGAGCTAGAGAGAGCCAGTGCTACCGGCCGTAGTAGCTACCACAATCCTTCCCCCTCCCTCTTACCTTGTAAACTAACACAAAGCTCTACTGTAGTGTGATGTGTTACAGGATGTGTTGAGGGGAGAGAGACACAAGGCAGCAAGACTAGAGACTAAGCTGGCCAGAAATGAGCTAGAGAGAGCCAGTGCTACCAGCCGTAGTAGCTACCACAATCCTTCCCCCTCCCCCTTACCTCATAAACTAACACAAAGCTCTACAGTAGTGTGATGTGTTACAGGATGTGTTAAGGAGAGAGAGACACAAGGCAGCAAGACTAGAGACCAAGCTGGCCAGACATGAGCTAGAGAGAGCCAGTGCTACCAGCCGTAGTAGCTACCACAATCCTTCCCCCTCCCCTAGTAAGCTGACAGAAAACTTTACTGAAGATCTCAAGTGCAAGTAAGTGCTCATCTGGAGGAGCTGTTTTGACATTAGTTAACGTGTGTTTTCAATAATCAAGGTCTTCAAATAGCTACTATCCCCATGTTATTGTGATTGTTGAATCAGTATGGCCATTTAACAGTCATAAACATAAATTATTTGAATTTATTGGAAAAATTTAACTACATTTACAGTTAATTTTAAACAATTTGCCTATCCAAACAAGGTCCATTTCCACGTAGTTCGTATTAGCCAGACTTTGCTGTAGCTCGCTATTGTTCACAACTGGAGCTCGAGGTTTATCGTAATTTTCAGACAACCCTCAACTTTCAATTATGACCGATGAAATACTTACATTAATAATTTATTTTGGATCGAGTTTGTTGGAAGATTATTCCTTTGATAGTCTGACCAGTAGACCAATCATAGATCAGGGTACACATTTTTCCATTTAAGAATGACCCTTTTATGCATTTTTCTACTTTCAAACAAATGGTAATTTGTAGAAATTTTTTTTCATTTATTAACAATTAGACAAATATCAAAATACTAATGTTCTAGGATTGAATTACTTGAGGAAGAGGTGTTATTTTTACGCACAAGGTTGGCCAACGTGGAGCATGAGAAACAAGAAGATTTGCGGACTTACACCTCTATGTTGGAACACTCCAGACATGCCTTTCAGGACGCAGTGAGGAACTTAAGCTCAACTACTCATTAATCAATATTCCATTGACTGTTCAAAATATACTGTTTATTGACATTTGCATTTTTAACCTTAATTTCTTGCTTACAAGTTACAAGCCAAAACAAAAATGTGCGATGGGTGTGAGGACATTTAAATTATGATTGGATTGAAAAATTTAGCTAATAACAAATAAGTAAACTATCTATTTTGAACAATTAATAGTTGTATTCATATACATTGCCAAGGAAATCGAGAAATACTTAACTCAATTAGATTTTTAAAATAAGATTATTCCAACAAATTAATATATAAAATCATACAGTCATATTTTCAATCAAGATACTGATGGCTTTCAAGTTAGTTTGCTTGAACAAACAGTCGACCTTCTCTCATTGTTTGGATGGTTACAAAAAATATGGAGTTGGAAAAGTGTTTCTATAAAAAGCATCTAATCCTAAAATACTTATTTTACAAATGAATAGGGGTCTATCTAGATAATCCTAAATTTACCCGAGCAGGATAAATGCCAATATTAATATACAACGTAATACAAGTAGTCATCCTCTGTATATACACATTACAATCCTACTAATATTATAAATGAGAAAGTTTGGATGTATGGATGTATGTTTGTGACAAGTAAACGCGAAAAATACTGGTCGGATCGGGTTGAAATTTGGTGTGATGATAGCTCACATTCCCGATTAACATATAGACGCATTCTCATCTCAAAAGTCCTTTCGGGCTCCGCCCCAGTGGCTCTGGAGTTTCCCATGTTAACCTTATGAGTAATCATATTTAAAAGGAATAAAAGAATTTTGTCAGCTGTTTCAACTACACAAGTTGGTTCTATGATATTAAATTATAGCATTACGAAATTATAAGGTTTACCAACAGGGTGCAGTACTATTAATTTTTTTGCATTTCGTGTTATCGTGTCCTCTTCGCGTTGCAAAGCACGGGTACAACAGCTAGTTTATAATAAATCAATAAATTTGTTTAAGGAAATTTTGTAAATGCCGCTTTTGTTAAATTTTGATGATTCTTCAGTTACTTGTTGATGTTTGGAAACTTTTGAATTTATAATCTTAAGGACATTGTTTTTTGTTCTATATGTTGCTTTGAAATTTGTTTTAGATAAGGTTTTCCTTATGGCTTTATTTAATTTAGAGTTATGAGTGAGACATATGTATTTACTTATATATATGTCCGTTAGCACGATAGCTCAAGCAAAAATGATCTGATTTTGATGAAATTTGGTACAAATGTGTAAACCTACATTTATTCAAATGAGTTTGCGAACCAGCATGATCAGACCATGGGAACGGGGGTTTATGGGGGGTTTTATAGGGTAAAAATTGGTTTTTCTCATTTTTTACCCCAAAAACATAAAAATTAGCAATTTCTTTCCAAACAATTTTGTAGAGCTTAAAAAAACAAATAATTTAGTATATTGAAGCATTATTATGCGCCTAATGGTTACGGAAAAAATTCCAAAGAAAGGTAAATTTAAAATTTTTATGTTATTCTTATGGAGAATGAGTATAACTGTTGTTGTTTGCTTGTTTATGAGCATATTTTGATCACATTTGGAAAATGCATTGATTGCATACTAAACTATTAACATTTTACCAAACAACTTTTTTACACTCCCTTTTGCAGCAAACCTATAGTTCTCGTTAAACTAATGCTATTTAAATAGGTAATAAATGTGATATTTTTAAGACTTTTTAGTGTAATCCAATTAGGCAAATGGAAATTCGCCTAGTCTGCAGGTATGCTGCGGCGGGGGTATTTTCATATTTTTTTTGTATTTAGCGAATTTCCCTATAGGGAAGTAGCTATTACCGTAGGTCTCATGGTAAGACCTAGGCCCGGGACCGATTTACTTTTTCATTTTGATATCCCCAGAGGGCCAGAGGCCAAAAACACCATTCGTTCAAATTTTATATTTCTTACTAATATAAATGTGAAAGTTTGTAAGTTTGTTTGTTTGTTTGTTTGTTTGTGTGTTTGAAGTACAATCACGCATTAATTACTGGATGGATTGGGCTCAAATTTGGCATGATGATAGCTCACATTCCCGATTAACATGTAGGCATATTTTTATCTCAAAAATCCTTTCGGGCTCCGCCCCAGTGGCTCTAGAGTTTCCCATGTTAACCTTATGAGTACTCATATCTAAATGGAATTAAAGAATTTAGTCAGCTGTTTCAACTAAAAAGGTTGGTTCTATGATATGCAAAGGCATTAAAAGTTATAAGATTTACCAACAGGATGCAGCACTATTTTTTTTCATTTATGAAAACAGCTAATTTGAACTAAGCAGCAACAAAAAACTGTGATACCCAATGAGAACTGTCTGTTTACAGTTATGTTTATGTTTTTAATTTCACGAATAATTTTTGATATTTTGTGAATCTTTAATCATTTATTTTTTTCTATTGTTTGGGTGAAGTGGTAGAACATTATGGCTATGGTAGATGTGTAATACTATAGTATACCGTAAATTTAAAGAAGCAAATTTTATCATACTTTGTCCTCCCTCATTTCAAACGCAAAGCTTGAGTATAACTGTACTAAGCATTTTATACTTATATGCCACTCCCGTACAAAGGACGGGTACTCTGCTAGTGTATATATATATTGTAAGAAAGGGGATTTACCCCGTACCCACGGTGCTCATCTATGCAGACACTCTGTTCACATTACACTTAGTCGACCAGTTGGTGTGAACAGAGTTGAACAGTAGCATGAGCATCGATTTACAAATTCCTTTCCCAGCTGATGTGAGCTAGGCGATGACCGGTAGGGCTGACTTCCAAGAAACACCGTTAACCTATAAGCCACACACCCTATCGGTAATCAGCCAATGAGAAGGGCTAATGATGAAGATGGAGGGGTCAAGACTCTTGGAGCTGGAGGATCTGAAGGAAAACATCGTGGAGATCACCACGGGCCACCGGAGAAAGAAGATCGGGAGTTTGGGAGTGCGTGTATCGGTGTGTGTGCTTCTGGGACAATAGACAGTATGTAGAAAGAATAAAATATCTAACTAACACTTTGTCAAACATAAAAGTCATATAATTTGTCAGTAACTAATTCTTTTATATTTTCAATTGATTTTTCTTTTCTTGTAAATTTAACGTTGTAATTTAATTTATCTTATTATTGTTGTTTTTTGCATTTTCAAAGTTTTCTTTTGCTGTTGTAACACTTTTAACTTTTGTTGTTTTCGTAATTTATATTTTTGTTCTTTACACGTTGAGTAACACCCTTAAGCAGTCTTATGTCTCATTAACCTAACACCTCTTGACTAAGCTAAGCGAGTGAATCATTTGAGGAAACTTAAACTTAAAGTGAGGCATGGGACTCGCAATATCTATATATAGAGATATATATGTGTCCATTCGCACGATAACTTGAGTAATTTTTGTCCGATTTTTATAAAATTTGGTTTAAGGTGTGAGGCGGGATAAACTTGAATGAGTTTGCGAACCACCATGATCGGACCATGGGAACGGGGTTTAACGGGGGGTTTCATGGGGTAAAAATGGGTTTTTCTAATTTTCTACCCTTAAAACACAAAATTTATCAATTTTTCTCAAGACCTTTTTAAAGAGCTTAAAAAGCAAATAATTTAGTACCTATATGAAATTGTTTTTGTTCGATGATTGGTTATGGAGAAAATTCAAAAAAAAAATTTAATTTAAAATTCCCATGTTATTCTTATGGAGAATATTATAATATGTTGTAGTTGGCTTGTTTATGGATATATTTTGATCAAACTTGGCGGATTTATTTATTTCATACTAAGCTATTGATATTTTAATAAAAAAAACACACTTTATTTTTATTAGTTTCCCTGTAGCAGCTAACCTAGGTACTCGTTACATAAATGTTGATTTAATAGATTAATTGAAAATCAATCCAGGCACATGGAAATTCGCTTAGTCGGCAGGTTTTCTGCAGCGGGGGTATTATTAAGATTTTATAGCAATTTCAAAACATCACTAAACATTCACTACATATTCATCCAGGAGCGAGGTATTTGAAACTGATAAGTTCAATAAACTAAGAATAGAACCATGGTTTAAGGTCACTCAGAATAATCTGCTTCGTGGTTTTCCCACATCCTATGTTTATCCTGTCTCCTGTTTGTATGTCAATGACCACATCCCAACAAAGAGTTCTTCAATCATGTCTTCTGTCATTACTTTGGTCTTCAGTGTGTTGGTTTTTACGTTATTGGCAACAAACGAGTCTGAAGAATCTACTTTCCAGTTGTTCATTCCAATGTGGCATCCCCAATATCCAGTTGTTATGGGGTTGATTCACCAAACAAAATGTGGTCTTATTGGAGAACGGGTAAGTTAAAATTTTTAATTTGTTCTGTTATTTATTTTTAAATATATTATTTCTTCTTTAAAATGTAAATTTAAGTTGAAAAATATGAAAATACAACTTAACTGTACTAACAACAACCACAGTTACATAAAATATGCCAGATTTCTTTGTATTAACAGGATTCTTTAATTTACCAACTAATATTTTTGTATCAATTTTTTTACCAAACCACTATTTTTTATAAAATTACTGTATAGGAGTAGATTTTTACTGTGTCAATTTGAGACTGTGTGTATTAATAATTGTTCACACAATACATTTTCCCAATGATAATTTCAAAGATATACTTCTTAATTGCTGAGTTCATTGCTTAATTCATTAATCTTGATGATATTTTCCCACTAGATTGGGTAGTACTATTTTCCATGGATAGGGGAAATGTAGATTTTTCTTACATTTACTTAAATTGTCATTGTCATTTTGTGTCTACACTTTTAAACTTATCAGCAAGTTTGAAGATAAATTTGATTGAAAGGCCTCTCTTACAAGGAAGTAAGGTTCTAAAGTAACTTATAGAAAAGTAGCTTAGTAAACAAGGAAAGCGAAAATTAAGTTGGTTATGATAGTGATAGTAACATCACTTCTAGTATTCTTGTCTTATTTTGCTGTTCTGATAATGGAAGCTTATAGCATGTTCCTAGAATGCTTAAATAAATAGCTACAAGATT